TTCTTTCTTCTCTTGGGAGACCTTGTCCTCTTGGAACCCTCCCTCCGGCTTTCTAACTCACTACTCTGTGTGAGCACAGGGGTGGTGAGTGCTGGGCCCAGCTCCCTCACTGTAGAAAGCCAGCAGTGTCAGTGAGAACTTTCTGTTCTCTTCTGGGTACACTTTGTACTTTTCTGGGACTGTGTGGCTCACTGTTATTTTGTTTATGTAGAAAGAATCAAATACATATGCACATTTAAATACACACATATATTCAACCGACGAAAAGAAATCGTCATGCATATTGCCACTTGCCTATAGTTAAAAGTCAGTAAAAATGAAAACAACCTATTCTTTACTTCTTTTAGTATCATAAAAACTTATATGCATTTTATGCTGATTTTTCTCTTTCGTGTTTTAAAAAGTTTCCATCTTCATATTGGCCTGACTTGGCTGTTGGACCCCTTTAAAATGCCTTCCAATTCGATCTTTGTAGTTATGTCCCTGATGTTTTATGACCAAAATAGTATGCTTCTAACTCAGTCTAATTTCTTCCTGTCATAAGGACACTTGAAAAGTCCTTGTACAATTGTGGGACATATTCTGGGAAGTTTGTTATTAAGAAATTTCATTGTACAAACATCATAAAATACACTTGCACAAACTGAAATGACTATAAATCATTGGGTTTTATATATGTGTGTTTGTGGTATGTGAGTGTGATGTGTAATGTGTTTATCTATACATGTTGTACATGTGGGGTATGTATGTATGTGTGTAAACTGGAATGTGTGGGATGCATGTTAAATATACACTATATACGGTGTGTGTGTATTAAAATAACTTGCATGGAACGAATGCATATGTGTGGTAGAGTCTATTATGTATGCAGCGTGTGTATATGTATGGTGTAGTATACAGTGTGTGCATGGTTTGTGTGTTGTGTGTGTCTGTGTTTTGGGATGAGAGGAGAGAGACTGGCTGAGAACTAAGATGGGTGTGACACTCCCAAACATTCTTCAAATGTTTGATAGAAAGTTCTATTTTCTCCTTTCTCTTGATGTTATTAGATTAAGGGGTAGATAATATTAGTTTTGAATGTGTTGTTTCTAGAAACACTTTAACCTGAACCAAGGGAAAGTTAATACAGCATCATTATCCCTTTTCTCTAATTTGAAACATAAGAACAGATTCTCCCTGCCTACACCCTTCTCTTTGCTGCTGCACAAGGCAGAAAGAAAGTAGTGTAGAGTGAGGTGACAGTTCATGAAAACCACGCCTGATATTAAATGGGACAAGAGACAAGAAAAGCACAACAAACATGAGAAATGTTTATGATTTTTATTGCTATAGTTTCAGTCATACACTTAGATAAACGTGATAGATATTGCTACTTAACCTATCCCTCACCCTTTTATCTCTAATTCTAATTCTTTTGAACATGTTTAAAAGTTGTGTTCATCACTTTTCCATCACCGTAAGCTGTATTTTAGCTCAGGGTTTGGGGGTCTCAGTCCAGTCAGCTGGATCCATTGGGTTTAAATCTGTGGTGAGGGAGAAACATCACGGTGGAAAAGCATTGTGGTGGAAAATTCTCTTACAGGGAAGAAGACAGGGAGGAAGGGATGGGTCAGGCATAGGATACACCCTTCAAAGGCCCACCCTCCTGGTGGTGCCACCTTCCCAAGCTTGCACATCTCCCCCTAGTATCAGCAGCTGGGGAAGAGCACTTGGGGTACATTCCAGACCCAAACTGTAACAAAGTGTGTCTTATTTTCATTTGCTCCTCATTACTCAGTTACAGTTATTTTTTACAGTCTCTCAGGCTGTAGTGGCAACATAGTTATTTGCACAGATTCATAACAACATTTTTTCACCAGAATATATTTGAAAAATTGACTGACTAATCCAATTATTTTTTAGTGTCGATAACTTTATTCAAATAGGTATAATAATCCTACCACTAAAGAATAAGTACTGTATTTCCTGTGTGGTATTATTGCCTAAAATGCCTCCATGAAGCTGTTCTTTGCACAGGCTCTGTGGTTTACAGATAGTAAGGAAGGTCACTTCCTGGGAGGTCCAGGATTTTAGAAGGTTTTTAAGAACTTGAGTGGAGAATCCACTCCCACCTATAGTGCTTCCAGTACTTCTGAAGGAGATAAATTTCTGGGTGTGGTTTCATAACATTGTAATGCACGAGAAATTTAAAAACATATTGCAGTGATGCAGAATTTTAAAAAATGTAATTCCTACAGAATCTTTACAGGGAAGTTAATTTTCCAGCCCTAATGGACATTTAAGTAATTACAGTTCTAGCTTTGCTGAATACATACCACAAATTGGCATCACTCTATTAAGTAATGTTTTTTTTTTGCTGCATTTATGTAAGTTCATAAGGCTAAAAAGCAAGCTTTTGATGCTAACAGTGAAGGAATCACTCATTTAAAAATCTGTAAGAAACAGGATGGTTACTTAGTTACTTTTCTCATTGCTGAGACAAAACACCCGATTATTCACAAGTTAAAGGAAAACATGTTTATCTCAGTTCACAGTCTGCAGAAGTTTCAGTCCATAGTTGGCTGGCTCCGAAACAGGGTGGCATGGCAGAGAGGCACAGAGGAGAAACAGTCCATGGAAAATCAGGCAGGAGACAGGGAAGCAGCAAGCAGCAGCCACAAACCTGCCTTCCCTCTCCTTTTACATCCCAACAGGGCTGTAAGCCTATTGATTGGTGCCACCCACACCCAAGGTGGCACTACAACCATCCACACCCAGAACTATGCTAATTGGTAGACTAATTTAGTACCAAACATCTTTAATCCCAGCATCACCTGCCCTAGATCCAGCCAACTTTGAAAAACCCCACCTATGAGCAGATGAGACTTTAGATGGGGACATCTAGATATATGCCATAAGCCTGTCTGTTCTTTCACTATCAGAAAGGCCCATCTGTGCCTGTGTTAGGGTATTTTGAGTCAATTCAGGCTGCTATGACAGAATACCATAGCATGGCTCAATTACCACTTATTACTTACAGTTCTAGAGGCTGCAAAAGTCGAAGGTCAAACCACAAACTGATCTTATCTATGGGAGTTTGGTTTTTGTTTCATAGATCTCCATATTGTTATTGTAACCTCACACAGCTGAAAGAAAAAGAAATTCTCTGTTTTCTTTTCGCATAAAGGCACTAATCCTGCTCTTGAAGGCTCCACTCTTATGGTCTAGTCACCTCTTGAAGTCACTCCTCCTAAAACTGTCAAATTAAGGGTTGGATTTCAGCATAAGAACTTTGGGGAGCAGGTAACCACATATTTTACCTTTTCCTTGAGTTCCTCTTTTGTGAGTTAAATCTTTAATATATATTAATATTAAAATGCATAAATATATTTTACATTAATATATATTAAATATGTAACCAAAATATATATTAAAGATATACACAAACAGACTCAATGACATATGACTAACCTCCAGAATGGCTAAAATTAAAAATATTAACAATGTCAAATATTTATGAACAAGTAAAACAATATTGTTGACTGGAATATAAATTGAAACAATCACTTTAGAAAAATTATTCCTGGTATTCACAAAAGCTAAACATACCCAAACCCAATAACATATTTCTGTTTTTATATGTAACAGAAATTTGTGTTGTGTCTGATAAAAAACAAACATAAGAAGAGTTTTAGAAGCTGTTTGTAATAGCCCCAAACTAAAGGGTTATTTTCCATCAACAGACTATGAATTCCATTAATATGGAATGTTTTAGTCTCTTTCCCATGACGGAACACCATACCCAACACCCACAACTTCCTGTCCCTAAAAGCCTGGAGATGTACATCTTTTGAGGATGAACTCGATCTATGCTTATTAGTACCAATGGGTCCCAGCTCGTGAAGACTTTGGCTGCTTGTGAACTGCTGCCTCTACAGCTCATTCTTACAAAACCTTTTATGGTCCTCTTATGCCTAGTGGTTGTTTTAGGAAGAAACAATGAAAACAAAATAACATTAATTAAACAATGCAAAAGCTGTCTTTGCACAAATATGAAAGGAAGTGGTGAATTCAGGTATTGGCTGAAGTTTAAGCAGCAAAGAAAACTTGTTCTTAGTGGGTATTTGTGTTAAGGACTCATCTAAAGAACCAATCTTCTTTGTAACTATGCATTGCATTGGAAAGCACAGCCATCTCTTTGCTATAAAGCATTCTTCTCAAAACAAAGAGGTGGCATGTGCTATGATGCTATGAGCCTGGACCAGCAGATGCTGTGTGTGTGTGTGTGTGTGTGTGTGTGTGTGTGAGAGAGAGAGAGAGAGAGAGAGAGAGAGAGAGACAGAGAGAGAGAGAGAGACAGAGACAGAGACAGAGTGTGTGTGTGTGTGTGTGTGTGTGTGTGTGTGTGTGTGTGTGAGAGAGAGAGAGAGAGAGAGAGAATATTTGAAGCAAGTACTAAGATGTGGCCCAGGCAATATTTGTGATCACCAGCACTACCCTGGCCATACATTAAGGTGTCAGTACTAGCTCTGGCCTGAATTTGGAACATTTAAAAAATGACTCTTTGACCTTGAAGATCATATTGATAAAGCAAAAGAGAGCAATTGGTTCTTTGATTATAGTATAGTATTCATATAGCCATGTGACTGCTGAAGAATATCACATGGGATCTCAATTTGCTGCTATGAAAATGAATCTCACTTGGTTTCAGGGCCCAGAAAGCTGCAGATTGTACCAAGTGATATAATCAAGTGAGAAACTGCTGAATCAGGGGCCCTTGGCTGACACGGAAGTCCTGACCAGAATGGCCTTGCAGGTTTCTGTAGGTTTTCCAAGCTCGCATCAGTTGCACAGCTGCAGACCAAAAGCTACGAGGAATGTACTCAATATTTAAAGGTTAGAGAGACATGGGAGAGCCTTTACTTTGGTTAATTTAATATATAACTCATGTCACACAAACACGCTTTTCTGTTCTACTGGCCAAAAATCTTTGTTTGAAAGAGACAGAAGTTCGAGTCAAATTAAAGAGGGAAAAAAGAAGTTTATTTGTTGACTTAAAATTACAGTTCAGAAACTGGGCTGCTTTCAGCGCAGCTGGATTTACTTGGATACCATCAGGCGTCTGTCTGTTCCCACACCGCTCTTCTTTCCATCCGTTCTCCCTCAGGCTTCTCCACCCACGGGAAGGTTGCCCTTTGCAGCTCCAGGCTTTGCCAAACTCATGTCATACGGTGCTGGAGGAGGCTGCAGGCTGCTCAGCGCTACTTGGAGATGCCAGTATTTGAAAAGTGCTCTGCTGGACCTCCTCGGTTAGCCTTACCACGTGATCAGATGTGAGTATGGAGGCAGGAAGACCCCTTTGATGAGGTGGCGGGGCAGAGAAGAGAAGGCAGAGTTCTGGGGCTGTCATGTGGGAGTCTTAATGTCAGCGAATGAAGTGAGGAGGAAGGGAGGGAGAAGGGGGAGGCTTCACAGGGTACCACACCACCTCCCTCCTTTCTAACCTCTGGAAAGATCCAATAGACCCATTTCCAGTGCCATCAGTCTTGGAAGCAGTATGACTTCAGGGCAAGGTGAAGGACTTTTCTGCCCAAAATACATAATTCTAGTTGTCAGCGTGGTCTGGAGTCAGTTTCAATAAGGCAAAGCATTTTGTGCTAGATTAATCTTTTACAGATAAAAGTTTCCAAATGTGAGTATCTAACTCACTTGCATGTGTCAGATAAACTTATTGGCTATTTTCCATTTTTAATTGGAGATCAGAGAAGAGGAAGGCCTGGGCTTCTGAGGGGAAAGAGTGGAGCAGCCCCTGCTTATATTAGACCAGGAGCTGCGGTGAGAGAGAGGTCAGGGATTGTTGAAGAGGGGCTGGAAAGGACTGAGGTCTCAGCCAAACAAAACAGAGACTATGTTTTGGGACACAGGGAACTGGGGTCCTTTCCAAGGCAAACTGTATTCTTCAGAGATCAATCTACATGGTTCAGCCATGGTGACATCCAGAACTGGCCCTGTTGCGTGTTCTGCTATTTTTTATACACAAAGCCTGCTTCCTTTCCCTGTGGCCAATAAGATAAATCAAACCGAGAAAATCTCCCAAAACAATGACAAAAATTCTGTTTTCCCAGTTTTCTTATTTCTTGACCAAATCAGTTAAGGGAACCAAGTAATTTGATGTAAGAATTTTAAAACGTTTCAAGAGTCTTAAAGAACTTGTTTAGAGTTCATTTGAAAAAAGATATTGTGATATGATGTTTTGGTTTTTCATTAAATGAAAAAAAATATGTTTCTGAGTTTTGTTTGAAATCAGTGTATCTCAGGTGGTGGCACACACCTGTAATCTTAGCACTTAGGAAGCTGAGGCAGGAGGATCAAGAATACAAGGCCAGGCTGGACTACATACCTAGATCCTATCTCAAAAATATACATACGTGGGTGAGTGTGCACATGTCTTAAAAACAACTTCGCTATGGAACTTAAGGAAGGGCTGAATGTTTGGCAATAAACAGATGGGCTTAAGAAATCTTCCTGAGGACCAGGAGGAGGAATGTTTGGACACTGCTCTTGTTTGTCCTCCAAGGCGGTGGTCACCTACCAGCTGTCCCACTGCCCCCTCAGACCATTCTGTCCTGGGTTCTCTTGTTCTAAAAGTCAATACAAGTCCTTTACCATACTGACACTTTAAAAAGTGATCATCCTCAGTGGGACAAAGCTGGCATATTAAAAAGACATTTTATTTAAAATAGAGTACAAGAAAAAAAAAACTATATATATATGCAATGAACTGGAGGAAGTTGTAGAGGGCCTGGTTAAAAAGCACAAGCTGGGCCAGTAGACAGATGGAGTTTCCAGTTGTTGGTAAATAGCTTAAACTATTGGCCTTTCTGTGAAATTATCAAGGCTGCCTTGGAGCAAAGGTGAGGGTGGAAGCAACGGTATCTGCAAGTGACAAACTCAGCCTGAAGCCTGACCTGGTGAGAGATTTGCTGGAAGAAGAGACCATGACTCCATCCATTCTCACAGCCAAGTCATGGGGTGAGGCTGGGACGTTTTGTCACCATTTGCTTGCTCCTGGTGCGCAGACAGGGCCTTTGCCAGCCTCCTTCAAAGACAGACAAGAGGGGGCCAGGAGGATGACCAAACCTGGAGAAGATGGCAGAGAGAGCCTCTTCCGTAGGGAGACTTCTGCAGAGCAGCTGGTGGTACCACAGCTGTGTGATTCAGTAGAGAAATGCAGGGATCTGAGGAGCTTAACATTTGTCTGCGAGCTGTGTGCTCTCTATATTTAACCATCTTCCCAGAATTTCATATAGTGCATCTCAAATAAGTGTCATTTCTTGTTTGTCTGTTGGAATCTTTTTAGGCTCGTTGCCACCCCGTGGTTAGTCACTCAACAGAGAAGTGTTTCACACAAGAGAAGTCACAGCTCCCTTCTAGCAGCTTTGACGCACTGCAAGATGAAACAGGCCTCCATGCTTAGGGGACTTCTTAATTTCTCCCGGCTTCACTTATTCTCCTCAACCCTGTCGTGGGGACACAATTAATTCCTTTTGTCCGTGTGGCTGGGTCCATTTTATATTTCTAATTTTATTTCCTTTTCCATTTTGAAGAACATCTGACACAAGACTTCTGAACTTGGCCACCAACTGGAAAGGACAAAAAATGTCTAGGAAATGTACAGCTGGAGAAAGGACAATTACTCTAGTATATTTCTCTCTGTGGCATTAGAGCTGCCCAAGACATGACCTTCCCCTATCTTGGTCTGTGGAGACTATCTCTATAAAGCGTGGCTCAGTCTCCTACACTAATCTATGAGGAAGAGGGGTATAGATTACATAAAATTGTAAGAAAAAAATCCACCCTCCTGTGTCCCTGGTCTGTCCCTCCCTGTTCTCAGTGGTTCTAAGCTTGCTTCATTAATTTATCCAACAAATACTGAGTATATATTGTGTACCATCTTTGCTCTAGATTATGAAGATGCAGTTGCGGAAAGCAAAGGTCTGCTTTTACATTGCAGTAGAGGAGGGAGAAGACAATAAACACGATTGATAAACTACAGTTATGTCAGGTGGTTAAAGTACTCTGGAGAAATACGAGGGGTCTGGAGAGCTGTAGGATGCAAGTTGTGATTTTAAGTCAGATGGTGAATGTGGTATCAGTACTGGGGACACAACCTTCCAGAAAACAGCTGGTGCAAAGTCCAGTCATGATGTCAGTGCACAGTGAGGAAGGTGAGAATTAGAGAATGGAGGCTGAGAGAAGCTGAGATTGGGAGACAGATACTGCAGGGCCTGGGAGGCCGTTATGAGGACATTGGCTTTCACCCTTATGAGACAGGAAGCTACTGGAAGAGTGACAGATTGGATGTGTCCTTGAAGGCTTATGCTGGCTACCATTTTGAGACTCGGCCAGTGATTTGGGCTGAGCAGGGAGACTGAGGTGGCTGGAATCATTGTTCAGATGGGAAATGGTGGTTCCTGGAACACAGAGTTGGTGAGAAGAGTTATATTTTAATGTGTTTGATAGAATTTATTGATGCATTGAATATACAGTGTCAGAGACAGGAAGCAAAGATGGCCTAGAGCTTTTGGGCTAAGCAGCTGTAAGAGTGGTCCTGTCATTTGGTCATCAGACATACTTGATGTGTACATGGAGTCCTGCGCAACACTTTTTGTACCTTCTTGGCTGTAACAATGCGGCCGTCAGATGTCCAGGTAAGATTTCATCTGACAGCCTTAAAGGACGTTGCATGCTCTGTAGAAGCCTAAATAACAAATATTTCAAAACAGAAAGCAAACTTCTAAAAAACTAGCGTGACAATGTAACATGGTGAAGAATGTGGTGACTAGCATTTTTCACACAGTATAAAATGTTTAGTGTTTAAGTATGAAGGAAACCAAAGCTTTGATGCTGCTGAATAACTTTCACAACTTTCATACTATTGTTCTTTAAATCAGGCTTCGAAACTACAGGGTTTCCTGTATCAAATATTGTTATGTGTCATTCACACACAATCCCTATTCCCCACCTGCACTGCTGTTCTTAACTCTTCACTCACCCCACAGAAGGACAAAAGGTAAAAAATGTATAAGCCAAAAAATAAAAATAAAACCTTAATCTTTCAAAACCATAGCTAAAAGGCAATTTTTCCATCTCTGGGACTCAGTGTCTTCTGACCTTATGGAAAAGCAATAAAAATAATTCTCTAGCCCTTGATTTTTCTCCTCTTCCTACCTCTCTTGCATTTCTGAGTAATTTTTAATCCATTTATTGTTGAGAGTCATTATATGTAACCGGAGAAATCAGCTATTTTTTAAGTCACATTTTGGAGCAATTCTCCTAAGGACTTGTAAAACTATGCTGAAAGGCATCTTCTTGCAAGACACCAATCTTAAACACATATAAAGACTTAGCCCAGGGCTCAGAAGGCAGCTTTCTGTTGGCTACATGAGCCTTATGCTACCTTGGCTATGGAGAGGCAGAGGGGTTCAGAGGGTTTGATTAGCCCTACAAACTCTGAGAGCACCTGCTCACACCAGCCCCTCCCAGCAAACCTACCACCCACTGAGCTCAGCTTTGAGTCAAGTTCTCCACATGACCCTACCTACCTCCAATCAAACTGGCATTTATATGACCCCTACATAAGGACTGTGAATTGCTACCAGCAAGAGGTCCTTTGCTGGGGGTTTGAGTTACTAGTACATCATAGACTTGGAGTTAAGGTTTCTTTTTCTCTTTATTGCTGAAAAATATCACACCTCACTTTGACAATGAAGATAAATTCATTTAAGGTGATATTAAAAACAAGAACAGAAAAGATAATCTTTAGGTGAGTATGTACTAAATGAAGGGAAATTATATTGAGTAGATTTCATTTGGTATTTACATGTTGCTGTTGATTTTAATCAAGATATTAACCCAGAGATAATGAAAGATCACTTTTCAAATAATATTCTGTTTATATAAGGTAGAATTTAAAACAAAAATTTAAGAAAAAATATTTTATAACAAGAAAGAATATATAAAAACATGTTCATGTAAATTAGAAATGCACAGAAAAATATTCATTCACATAAAAATTTTCAATTGGCATGACTATATCAAATTAACTGGCTTGACAGAGTGAAAATCTCTCAGTCTATAACAATATTTTTTCAATCTATTTATCTTTTTTGGTTTTAATTTTTATTAGTATATATTTGTACTACATAATAATTACATTCTTTGTGGGGTGTTGAAACATATATATAACACATGGTAATGCTTTGTTTCATCTCCTGCTGTAAACATGGGTATGCAGCTATCACTGTAATAATACATATATGTGTGTATAAATTTTTTTGGTACCAGGGTTCAAACTCACGACCTTGTGCTTGCCAGGCAGGTGCTTGTGCATTAAGCTAAACCCCCAGCCCTATAATAATGTTTTTAAAAAAGCATTTTGTTAAATGCCTCTTCCTTTTTGGTTTTAATTTTTATTTTTGCATCCTACAAAAATGAATATTGTTGTTAAGGACAATGCATGCAGAAATAAAGTTCTTCATCTCCTAGAGGCCTCTATTCTGTGACTCTTCTTGAAATCCTAAGTTTTGAGGGACATTGCTCCAATTTAGTTTACATGTGAACATGAAGCATGGCATCACAGTTCAGGGACACATGTGCACCTTGGTGTGTAGCAGCATGATTCTGCTGGAAGCAGGCTATATGGCATTAGCACAGGAGTGGGCAAAGAAAATGTGGGTATTTACACACAGTGTATGCTCTGCCATAAAGAATGGTAAACTCCAGTCATTGTAGGAAACTGGATGCACCTTGAGGCCATAGTTTTAAGCGAAATAAATCAGACACATAAGCTTGACTATTCCATGTTTTCTCTTATATGAGGAACCCAGAGTATAAATAGAGAGCAAAATAAAGGATTGGGAATTGAAAGCAGTGAGACAGATCTTTCTCAAATAGAAAAGGATCAAGAGATGGAGGGAGGGGACTGCGAAGGGGATGGAAACAGGAATTAAGACGCGTTATGTGCATGTACGGACTCCACAAAAGGAATACTAACCTCATGTCCTACAACTCATACCAATAAAAAAGACCAGCAGGCACGTCATTAAACAAGAAAGAAGGAATGGATAAATGAGGAAGCCCCTGAAATGTAATGGTGAACACTGCTTTAAGAAAATAGAAAAATGACTTTCAATAAGAGCCTCCAACACAAGCTGTTTCCTTCCTGGAGGACTTTGATTTTTTCATCCTTCAGAGCACTTTGTTCCAATTTATGCACCTCCCACGCAGCGCTTTGGGCTTCTGGGGCTCCCTCTGTCCAACCTGGGTATGTAAATTTCAGCCACAATGCAGGCACCAGAGGGAGGGATGAGCGCTTCGATCTCAACGACTCTGCGAGGCCCTTCGTAGACTTGTTGCTCCTGCACACAAGAGAAAAATCAGATGGCACATGTTTCTAGAAAGCCACCGATTTGCTCAGTTTTTGTTAAAGTCAGAAAGTTACGATGGTCATGGGAGTGGGACAGGTAGTCAGGCTCCTTCCCAGGCCATTCCTAGGCCACACCCAGTGAGGGGACAGCTAAGGCCCCACGGTGCTGCCTGGTTTCTCCCTGAGCACCGCTGAATGACTGACTGAGTGGTCACTGTCTCTTTTTCAAGAACTTGCACTGTGTAGGGAGAAGAATGAGCAGGCTGGAGAGAGAAAATGTAGACGTGCAAGGCGCAGCCACAGAGATCCTGAAGGTCAGAGAGAAGGAGCAGGATCCCAGGAAATTCACTTCCCGCGTCCTCTATGGTTCTTATAAAGCCAAGAAGCTCTTGTTTCCTGTTTCTGGTGTCCATGAGGGGGCTTGTTAGCTCCTAATGAAACTGTCCCCCTTCTCCTCTTTTTTTGAACTGGGGATAGAACTCAGGACCTCACACTTGGCAGCCTTCTCCTCTTTTGCACTTGAAGGAGTGTAAATAGGTTTCTCTTCCTTCCAGGGAACCCCGTCTGAGATGGACACCAGAAAAAGAACTGTCAGGTCACCAAAACCAGACAAAGGCACTGGCAGTGGATTTTCTAATAGCAAATCGCAGAGTACCAATGCAAAACCGATAGAAGTACATAGTGCTGTGAGTCAAAAGCCATTAGCTAAATAAGGTGTGTAAAACCCGTAACAAATGAATGTTCATGGCAGTTAAATGGAATGGAATACTGTTATCAACAACTTCTAGGTAAGCAGGGAAGACCAGGGGGAGGAAATTCGCGTTATTGAAAGGGCACATAAGCGCACACCTGTGCACACTGACAATACAACACACATACACATGTGGATACTCAGGCCTAGAGGGTGATCCAAGCTCCATTGTTCACCGCCGAGGGTGACAGCAAGGAAGAATAAAACAAGAGGGAAAAATAAGAGGAGATGGAGTAGCAAAAGAGAAGATATACAATATGATTTAAATGTTATTGAACATTTAACAAAAGAAAAAAACTTTTTCATCTGAACTTACCATTTTTGCTGAATTTTTAAATATAAAAACTCGGTATTCTAGTTCATAGTAATTTTCCATTGATACTGTTTTTCCTTTTTGGTCTCTATATGGCGAATTTAGAGAATGGAGAACTACCGACAGTGATCCATTAACTCTGGTTATATTTATCACTGGAGGCTCTATTGTTGCTGAAGAAAAAATAGGGAATTTTGACAAACCATTTCAAAAAATGAGACAGGACACATGGACATACTATGCATTGTGATAAATCATTGCAACATGAGAGAGTTCTGTTTTATTCCCAATAAACAGATCTTTACTAAGTATGAAACTCTGATTGTCCCCAGGTTTACTATAACATTGCTAAGTATGGATTTTGTTACTGTTTTGTTTTTGGTTTTTTTTTTTTTTTTTTGTCTTTTTCATTTTTATCGGTACCGGGGATCGAACTCACGACCGCCTGCTTGCAAGGCAGGTGCTTATGCCGCTGAGCTAAACCCCCAGCCCCAAAGCTAAACCCCCAGCCCCTTGTTACTGTTTTCTATTCATTGTAATTTTCTGGCTATAGATTCACATCTTTGCTTTGACTGATTGACAGATTTTGAGATAGGGTCTCAATATGTAGTTCAAACTGGTTTTGAACTCACCATGTAGCCCAGGCTGGCGTGGAATTTGCAGCAATCCTGCCTCAGCCTGCTGAGTCCTGGAATTAAAGGCATGTGCCACCACACCCTGCTTCTCAAAATACCTTAAACTCAACATCTGAACAAAATTCACAATCTTAATTGCCCTATTTTTCACCCAACTGATCTTTTTTTTTTTTTTTTTTGGTGAAACTTCATTAAAAGCATCTCTATAATATAGTTATGCAAGAAAGACATTTAAAGATCATTTTAGACATGTTCTTCTCCTACCACTATATCTACCTGTTATCAAGTCCTGCCATTTTTTCTTATGAAATAACCCTCCAGTGATAAACTTTACATAGCTTTTCATTTTCCTAACTCAAGCTGGTCGGTATTCTGTAGACAATTACAATAGCCTCACTTGCTTATGTCTGACTTACTTTTCTTGTTGCTGAGACAAAATACCTGACATCCAAAGTTAAAGGAGGAAAGGTTATCTCATTGAGGTTTCAGTCCATAATTGGCTGGCACCAGGCAGAGTGGCCCCACAGAGGAGAGTTATTCATGGTGGGCAGAAACAGCCAAAGCAACAAGACAAAGAAGGGGCAGATGAACCTCTTAGTGCTCCTTTGTCTTATCCAGGCTACGGGGACAAGTGTGGTGACAATCTAACCAGTGGACTGACCCAGCAATCACACACCCTTAATCTCAGCACCTGTAATCCTGGCATGGAACCATGAGTCAATCATACATTCTAGATTCAGCTGCCTCTGCAAAACACTATGATTGCATGAGGCTTTGGGGGAACATCTAGGCACAAACCATAGAAGCTTACATCCAGTCTGTCTTCCCCGATGTAACCAAAGTGATCTTATCAGTGCATACATCTAATCATGTGCTCCCCCAATTCATATTACAGGTGGTGACCTGTAGCTCATGGTAGACTTCTTGGCTAGCTCGAGCAAGATTCAGGGTTTAATTTCCAGAACTGCACACCTTCCCAAAGTTATTTATATTTATTTCCTAGAGGAAGTCATAAATCCTGCACAGAAAATTCTCATTCTGGGCTTCCTTTCCAGTCTCTGCTCATTTCATCCTCCTTCCTTGCATGTGGTATCTCACCGTTCCAGCAGTCTTCTAGTCCCTTGGCTTATTATGCTCCCTCCTGCCACTGGATCTTTGCACATGCAATTTCCTTTGCCTGGAATGCCCTGTTCTACCGTCGATCCACGTAACTCCTTTTTAGCTATAGCTATCAGCTCAAAGGTCTCTTCCATGATGGAAGGTTATTCGGTCGTGTAACAGAGTGAAGCATTGATAAGTACTACAGCCATGGATAACCCTGAAAACACAAGGCTAAGTGAAAGAAGTCAATCCCAAAATGCCACCTGCTATGATGCCATCTAGGACAGGGAACTGTGCAGAGAGACAGGGAGGAGAGCTGGGGATGCTGGGGCAATCAGGGGAGAGGAAGGTGGTAGCCACAGGGCGTGGAGTTTCTTTCTGAGTTGACAAAAGTGTTCTAGAGTTGACTGAATGGTGTTTAAATGCATACACAAATACGTTAGAACCATCGAATTATATATGTTGTGTGAGTTTACTATAAGAAGTATGATTTATATCTCAGTGAAATATTTTTAAAACCAGCAAGGAATGAGGTCTGGCTCCATGAGGCAGCTCAAAGGCAGGAGGAGAAAGGCACAGAACCCCAAGGAACTCACTCACTTTCCCACCAGGGAATGAAGCGGGGTGTCATGCTCCAGCCCGAGTAGCTCCCCGCTGAGGCCATCCTCACCCTCCCGTAGTAAGGCTCCTGCAGGTTTGAGGTTTCGTTTGTAAGGTCACAAAAGAATTCCTGAGTACCCCAACATTCCGCCTTGTTTTTCCAGTCTCTCTCGCCATACCTAAAGGAAGCAAAAATGCACACATCTGTTTCTTTCCCTCATCGAAAGAGTTTTCAGGATTTTCAGTGTGTTAGTTCTTTAGACAGCTTGAAATCTGTCCCTTATTATCAGTGCCACTCACTGCCATCGTCAGTATTGGAAAATTTTGAAGATTTCTGGCTCGTTAAAGTGCTAGCTGACTAAAAGATCAATTCAACCTGGACACCTTCCGCATCATTCATGTAGGGTTTTTTATTTTGTTCATACTCATGAAAGTGATCCTCCTGGTACATGGATCAACTTCCATTTTTAGATGCTCATTCTCCACATCCTCACCGCTTCGGAGGTTTCAGCTCTGTGGTTTCCCTCCACTTCTCAGCTTCCTATTGAGCAATACGGTTGATTCTGAGAAGTTGCTACCATTTGTCATCCTGAGTGATACTTACCGAACACACATGACTCACCTCTTTATTGAAAATTAAGCGGAAGTTGAGGTGAAGACTCCACAGGGAGCCTTGTGATCGGGGCTGGGAGAGAGGAGATAAAGTTGTGCAAAAGGTGGTCAGGCAAAGCAGCAGACAGGTTGACGCTGAGGCCAGAGGATGGCGTAAGAGCCACAGAGAAGATTAAGACTCACTTCCTTTTTAGTCACAAATCCCAGCAAAACTGTCAGGTGCTAGCCTGAAGGGCAGGAAGTGGAGGTGGGGAGAAAGGCTCCTCCTTTGTTGAAGGACTTGAAATCTAATTTGGATCCATATGTGAGGAATATTTCTGGCCTCAATTCTCTGTAATCTATGCGGTGACAGTAGTTTCATTACATCATGGTTAAAGCAGACCCAATAGCATACCTGGGGTATAATTTGATGACTTTTAACTATTTATTGATGAGACATTGTCTCTGTGAACTTTAGCTGTGATGACTGACTTCCCTTTTAATATGATACCTCAGGCGTTTGTCCTATCCAATCTGTTAACCAGTGAATGACAGGAGCCAGGAATAACCTAAGTGAAAGTTTGTAAAATTATAAAGCTGCACTGTGCAACTGAGGATACCATAGAGACAGTAACGGCTCCAGGCTCTCTGGGATCTGAAAATTATAGAACCTTTCAGGTCCCTGTTCAAGGAAAAGAATTATAAATTTAAAATCCTTCTACGGGGTCTTGAAGTTTTATCTTCATCTTAAAACAGTTTCTAATTCCCACATCCCTTTGTCCACAAATTGGTATATTTTGGACCCGTTAGGTTGTCAGGGAGACAAAGAAACAGTATTGATCTCTACTTCCTCTATACCTGGAGAGCTGTAGCTATGCACAAATCTATTTTTCTAATGAAGAATTCTTTATTGTAAAGATCTGGGAGTTTTATGTTTGCTAAACAAAATGTGTAGAGAAAAGCAGGAACAATTAAAGGCTAGGAAACTTCTGGGGCTAAGCCTGAATTAATTAGTAAGAAAATCTGAAGTAAGGTCTTCCCCCTTTTGGAGGGTCATATATCTGATTTTCTGAAGTTCTAACAAAAATGCACAAAAACTAAGTGGCAATGCTTCCTGTCTTGTGTGTAGCCGATGTCTCAAACTATGTCAGGGGAGGCAGAGCCTCTAAAAAACCGAGGGACTGCAATGCAGCAATGCCTGCTGTTCTCAAATCAGCAGTGTGTACTTCCAAGCCTTGATCCGGGGAGAGTCGGTTATTAGCCGAGTACTGGTACTGGTCCTGCAGGGGTGGTGTGAGGATCCCACAAGGAGAGCATGCAGTAACACGTCCCAGTGTGTGTTCATGCCTACCAGAGCCACTAACGTTTGAAAAGAATTACATAAACTGATGCCTCGTTCTAAAAAATGATTTTCAGATTAGAAATGCGTTTTATATATACGTGCAATGTTGCCACAAGTTCACTTCAGCTGTTAATACTACTTGCTATGTGCAAAAAAGGGCACTTTTACCATTCATTCGGCAAACGTATCCTGAGAACTCACCAAGTGCCAGGCTCCACAGATGCCAGAGCCAAAGCTCTATGCTTTCTTAGCACTGCAGTTTCTGGTCTAAAGACTGTCCTCAAGTGTTTCAAGTCCCCAGGCAGCCTTTTGGGAAAAGAAGTCACTTCTGTCCCTGTCTCTGCTCCTTCTGAAACGCCTCTGAAAAAGCTCGGCTGCTGAAGCCCCATTGTGTTCCAGAATGTGCCACCCCTGTGGCCTTCCTGTCACCTGGAGGAAACTCAGTTTACTTACATTTTGTACTGCACAAAATAGATGCTCCTGTTGCTGCTCAGTGTGCACCCAGGCTGCCAGAGCAAAACATTATGAAAGTTTCGCGAGTGAAATCTCACCCTCTGAGGCTTCAGAGAGTGGCAAGCTGGCTGAGTTCCTAAAACAACGGGAAGGAAAACTGTAGAACATGACAATAACACCACTGTCATAGCAGTAGTTTTAAATGTACCCACATCAGGATTTCTTGAAGCACTTGCTCTAAGTATAGGCAATGGAAGAGGAGCCCAGAAATCAAATATTTTTGAGTCTTCTATGTGATAATTTTCAACTCTTCTGTGCGATGATTTTCATGGACATTTCTTTATCTTTTCTTTCTTTCTTTCTTCTTTTTTTTTTTTTTTTTTTTTTTGTAGCACTGTGGGCAGAACCCTTGTGCATGCTAGGCAAGTGCTCTACCTTAAAGCTACATCTCCAGCCCAGGGAGAGGTTTAGGAATGCTGAGTTCCAATTGGTAAAAACACGTGTGATATCCTCCCAGCCCACCCCTCAGGGAAATGAATCTGATTGAAAGGACTTTGTCCTTTGTTCTTTCCCACATAGTGATGGGATATAAAGAGGAGATGAAAGACCCACATTAAGGTCACCTGTGCCCCTACCCAGGAGACTCTATGCAAGCACCAGTCTGAGCCAAAACTTGCCTGGGATCGATTTAGTCTCAGGACCTCAGCCTAAGACTTGGTTCCTTCATTGTCTGGCTCCTGTTTACTTTTGTTCTGGCTTCAGGTACTTATGCCTGTGTGGCCTCCTCCTGAACCACTGTCTTCACTGCCTGCCTCTTGGCTCGGAGTACCCTGGCAGGATTGCTCAGATGAAGTGGTAACCACCCAAGGCCTCGGGGCCCAGAGCTCTGGACAGCCATCATGGCACAGAGGGAAGGCTGTGACTTCTTCCTCGAATCACGTGACACAGGTGGCCCAGTCTCACCTGTGTTTGCTCTTACGGCATCAGGAAACTTGGAATGACATTTTATTTTAGGGACCAAAGATTCTGAATAGGAACGAGAATTTGGGCCAAAAGAGGGAAAGGAGACACCTCTCTGCCTTCGCCTCCTCCTCTTCTGTTACCTGCACCTTTCTCTTCCGGAGTGGTCTCTCTTTCTTGTTCCCATGTGTCCAATGACCCAACCTCAGGTGCCCTGCAGTACTCCTGTCTCTTTCCGGAGCTACTCTTCCCCTGGATTTCTTCCTCTGAATTTGCACATGACCCCTTTCTTTGTCCCATTACATCTTTGGTCAAATTCTATGTAACTGAGGGAGTGGAAATACTTCTGCATTCATGGTCTCAGCAACTTTACAGTCAGTTATTTTCTAATGAATAGGGCTGTTTCTTCAGATATCTATCCTTACCCACCAAACTGTCAACACTGCTATTCTGTGTTTGGGGGCCTCCTGTCATGTACCAAATGGTAGTGTGTAGTTGGAAAGAACATTTTGCCACAGTTGATTTTGCTACACCCATCACTATCAAATTAATATCATTTAGGACATTAAAATTTCCAAGCTTCTCAGAAGATGACAAGTAATATCCTGAAGACCTGCCTAAAGCTGATTGGTTAACCTGAAGACATATGCCTGCAGGCTCTTTGTCTCTCTGTCTTTGGATTTCTTGTCTTATTTTTGTGATAGTATCATTGCTGCTTCCACCAACGCACTCTGTGCCAGGCAACGAGGGACTGATTTATTTACTTGCTGGATTTGCCCAGCTCTTGTGTGAGAAAGGCAACTTCCTCTTATAGACTAAAACCTTGGAGAAGTGAAGGAACTTGCCCAGCAACAAATGGTGAAGCTGATTTTTTTAAAACCTAGATTGACTGATGCCAGAGCTGCTTCTTACCACCTACAAAAAATCAAGAGTAAATCCTCAGGAGAGAGGAGCTGATGGAAGAGGCAGAGATGTGAGAAACTAAGAATATCCCTTCTCATCCTCCTCCTCCACTCCTCCATTCTCTTCTGGCTGACATTCATGGAACGTTGAACAAATATGAATATTCAACATATGACAGGCACTTTGTTCATTCCCTTCAAATTATTTAGTTTCACCACCAATGGACAAGGTAAGTCATTTCGTTACTGCATTATTTGGATGGGGAGGTTGACAAGTTGTGTATTAATTAGCCCCAAAGAAGTTGCTTATGTTGCTCATGGTGATGGGCCAGGTGAGGATCCTTTCATATTTTGTTAAATGAGTCCTTGTGATGGAGGGCCAGGAGCACAGCCTAGTTTCACAGATTTCCAGAAGATGGGGGCCAGAATTACTTTCCTGTATCAGTCACTGGCAAATTGTGTGGTTGTGGGAATTTATTCAAGCCTTTTCCACTGAGAATTATACATCTGTTGACTTGAGATCCCAAAGGCTTTGCTCAGAGGTGTGTCATGACAAGATACTCTACGTTCCTATAGAGTTCTCTGCAAACACCAATGGCAAATTCTCGAAACTTATCTATGTTCTTGTCCTGTGCCAGACACTGCTCTAAGCACTTGGCATAGGCAGTCTCATAGTAGCATCACAGTGACCTACAATCTCCATCCTACAGATGGGGCAGTTGAGGCACAGGCTATTTTAAAAGACAAGTTTTTCTAGTTAGTAAGTGACTGAGTTGAAATCTAGACTCTGACAGCCTGGCTTAGGGGCCTACACTTACAATTGCCACAGGCAGAGTTTCTGCAAAGCAAAAGAAATCTGAAGTGAAATTCTTGCATCTGTAAGTCTGTCTCCACTCTCGCAGGTGTTCGTTAGCTACCCGTGGAGTTATTCAGGCTGTAGATAGGAACTGACCCACTCTCCAGCTCTTAGTATTTAATGACCTAAGAAAGCTGGAATTTTACAAAACCCATAAAAAATTAGTGCCATTTCTAGCAGTCTCTTGATCAGACTCCAAGACAAAGCTGCTATCATTAAAAAGAAACAAGGCACTTACCTGCTCCGCCAGTCAGGAGGAGGCTGAGGAGGAAGCCAGGAAAGCAATGCTTAAGCATCATGGTCACAAATGCGACTGGTCAGACAACCAGAGCGCCTTTCAAGCTCATCCCAGAAGAGGGAACTAGGAAATCTGCAAGGTCAGCATCGGTGTTTATCATTTAGGTACTGAATACTTTCAAAAACCCGGTGCATGGCTGAATGTGTGTTCAGTTTACTGCAAAATCTGCAAAATATGGTTGTTATTTATGAGATCCTTAAATTGTTTATTTTCAAAATTAACTGATGTTTTTAAAATGACTGACAGTAGTATAGAAGAAATACAGGTTTACTTTAACTGAATTGTAAAATTATTAGAGGTATTTGTCATATAAGAATATATTAAAGGAAGTTATTGGATCATACAAAAAGTATAATATTATTGCTATGCTTGTATTCTTCGATTACAGGGGAAGTTAGCCTTGACTAAGTCCTATTTTAGTATAACTATAATAGCTTTTAAGGATGTATCAACACTTGAGTATAAATCATAACTTCCTGGTTGATATCTCAGCTGTTCTGGAACTTTAAGCTAAGTTTAGTCATTTTTGATATGAAACTTAGTAATTTGGGTAAGTTATTTTCTCTTCTACTGCTTAACAGTTGCAATCTGTTCTCTGTACTGGTTAGCACCAATTAGAATTCTTAAATAGAGATAGTTTAAAGGAGTCAAAGTTTTGCTGAGCATATGAGTAGCAATCATTTTGTCTTCATTAATGCAGTGCCCTAAGAATTTAAATCTTCACAATAGAAAATTCATTCAAAAGATGCACAATAGTGGTCTAGTGCTGTGCAATGAGGGAATGAAGGGATTTTTCACCTCACAAATGTAGTTTCATAAGTAAAACTGGGCCCATAGTCAAAAATAAAGGAATAAGATACTCAAGCTGACGGCCCTATCCCACTTAACGAATAGCAAATATTTCCTTGAAACAACTATAATTTTATTTTGCTGCCTTGTTTTATCACTTTTATAAAAGTGTAAGAATCACTTTTAAAAAATAAAACAGCTGCTGTAAGTTGTGTGTGTGTAAAGCTTGCTGTGGGAGCGGGGCTGGCAGACCCTGAAGACAGGGTAGGGCAGACATTCACCCCGAACCGGCAGGAGAGCGTACTTTTAAAGTCGCAATGCCTTTTTCACCTCAGGCCTGTTTTGCTTTCTGGCTCCTTATTCCTAAAGCCCTGAATCTTAGCGATAAAAGAAGTCCATAAATTTGGCTTGTGTTTTCCTCCTGATACTATACGCCTACTAGCCCCAAAACTGTCACCCTCAATGACATGGTACTATGAATTGGGTACCATGTCCAAACATCAAACACACACCAAAGGTTTGCATTTTAACCTGTAGTTAATAAAACTAGTTTTTGCTCTAGTATGCTAGTGGGTAACCTAATGGGAAGGAAACAGACACTATGGTGGTAAATGATAAACAGCTCAGAGAAATAAACATTCCAGCTTATCAGGCTCCAGGGTACCCCGAGGCTGTGTAAACACTCCGACCCAAGACCATGGTTAGCTCACTTCTCAAGAGCCTGAACCTTTTCTGAGTGCACGTCCTGATTCTTCCTAACAAACTGCCTGTGTCTCTCACCGAGGCGTCCTGAAATGCTTTCTGTGACAATGAAGTTAACCTCTTCCTCCTCAGTGAGCGGAGGTCCTCTGTGTCCTCCTCGAATCCTGTACAAGGACAAAACACTCACGTGGCCTTAAGGAAGCAGAGAGGCTGATTTTGAGTACTGTGCTTGGCAGTTACACCTCCAGGGACACTGGCCCTTGTTCAGAAAGGGGGGCTTTCTCAATGATTCTTTCTTGTCCCCTTTTTGGGTGGCTCCCCACTGACCCACCTTGGTGTCCTCGCGCTCTCTCGCCCCCTCTAACCTCCACAGCGCCTCCTGCCTTAATTTCTGGTTTTCTCCTCTCCGAGGGACCCTGTCCTCACTCAACTAATGCTTCCCCTTTTCCACTCCCACCTCAGAGAACAGCAATCTGCAAAAGCTGATTGAGCCTAATGAAGCAAACAATGCATTAGCACAGGAATGTGGAGGCCAATCATTCTGGACTACTGTTAGGTCCTTTTCACCTCCCACCTTTAAATCTGATCAAACCAGGTCGTCGTTCAATCAGGTCGTTGTTCTTTGCCCATGAGTCATCATATCATTTTGCAAAATTTTTTTCCATATGGTTTTAGAGGCACTAAAATGATACTTTGAAGTACAATAAAATCACAAAACAATTCTTTGTTGTTGTTTTAATGAGAGCGAATCTTGAAGGTAGAAGAAAAGCATTGTGGTGTTGTTTTCTTCCTGGGTAATCGTCCTTGTCGAGTTCTTAGTAGAACCGTCCCATTAGTGAGGCATAGTGATCCTGCTGAGCAGTATCCATTCATTCATTCACGTTTAGCAAGTATTTGCTGTTCCACCATAAACTAAGCATTGTAGTTTTCTTCTTTCTAGAAGAAGGCAGGGATGGAGACAATAGTGAGCAAGGCAGGATTGTGAGTTTTATTCATCGCTTTCTCCCCCTTCCTGTAGGAGACAAAGAGTTTCAGAAGGTGATTGCAAAGCTACCTCACTGCCCCGTCATCCATCCTAAAGATTAGCAGAGACTAGAGCTGTGCGAGGGGCCGTGACAGACAAGGGGAGTGGTGCTACAGGAGGGCAGGCAGTCCTCACAACAAGGGAAGACGGCCTTCTGCAGAAGAAAGGAGCAGAAGGGAAGCTGTTTTCTGAAGGTGCTACCACCCAGCTACAACTGCAGGACTCGGCATCTGCAGAGAGCAGTGCCAGATACTTGAAGCCTTGTGAACCTGGCCGCGCAGCCAAGGCCTCCTCTCTGACCAAGTGGTCTTGGAACACAGCCTACTGTCAGAGACTATGGGCAAGACTACCATGGTCACATCATGAACGAATTCCAGTTATTCCAGGACGGCTGCATGCTTTCCGAAATGGAAGGTGTACAGAAAAGTTTGTGAAGATAATACCAGGGTTTCTAGCACCTCCACACTGTGTCTAACCTCTGAGTCCAGACTCATATCTCCTCCAAGGGAAGCTGTTACTTCTTAGAAGGTAACTTAGGCAAGTGTTTTACCATGGATCTACATCCTCAGCCCCTGACAATTTAGGCTTAAAAGAAGAAATACACAGCACACCTCTCTCCCCTTTTCTCCTCCTTGGTGTGCTGTCTTCTAGCCTTCTTAGCATCTCCCTGTACTCACTAGTGCTCCCCACAGAGTTTTACACTGAGCGCTGATCTTGCTTTTTAAGTGCAGGTGTGTATTATAACATGGGTTTGGAATGGCAATGTTCATTCAGTATCACTGACAGCAACTGATCTTATTTTAAAGCAATCACACTCTTCCAAATTTCAGTTAAGAGAAAAGGGAAATTATTTAAATTCAAGGTGTGATATATAGAGCAGCAGATAATGAAATTAGAGGTTTTCCTGAATTACTGACTCAGTGGCATAAGAGGAAATTAGGAAAAAGGAGGAAGAGTGTAAATATTTAAGAACTGAGTTCTTCCTTATGAGTTTTCTTGCTGTGCTAAATTTCAGAAAACAGATCAGTCCTGTCACCGTTCAATGAGCTCTCCAATTGTGTAACATCATAACGTGTAAAAGCCAGCACTGCTAACGATACCTTAAGGTAGATGAAAAGGTAAGATTAGGTTCTATTTTTCCACTAGTTTCAAAGCAGCAATTACTTGTAGAGTTGTTTTAAATGAAGTGTCATGTGGTGTGGAAGAAAATGGTAACTAATGGGGAACCTGTACTCTGCCTTATTGGGGTGTAAAATACTGGCCCCAGCCCTCACACCTCAGGCAGGAGGAGAGCCCACCTTGACTGTGGCGGTGGACGCCTCCATTGTATTGGGTCTGGACAGGACTGCTGCGGCCCTGCCTTGGACAGCTGATGTTCTTTACCCTTTGCCCTTGTGGCTTCCAGCAGACCAAAGATTCATCCAAGCCAGCAGATGGTCCTCTTCCTGCTCTTTGGTTATTATTTTTATTCTTTTAGAGATTACATATTACATTATTACAGATGAAACTGCTGTAATGTCTGCTTTTTGTTTCAAAATATCTAGGGGTTGGACAATGGGGTGAATGGCTACAATCTGATAAATATTAACACTTGGAATTACATACATGGAGTCCCACAATATTCTTAACTTTTGTATATTGTTTTTCATAGGAAATACCTTTTATCTATAGGATACTGTTTTTACAAAACTCCTTTGTATAGTTTTAGTGCCATTTTGGGATTCATAAGAAGGTGCAATAATTATGGAGCACTGAATTGAGTTCTTCCCATGTATGGATTTAGTTAATCCTCTTACCAGGCCTGGGAGGTTGATATTGTTATTCTGATACCATGGGCGAAAACCTGAAACACAGAAGAAGAGAACCTGACCAAGGCTCTAGAGCAAACAGTCCCAAGTGAGGGGCGAAATCAGACACAGTTCCTCTCAGGCCTGAGGAGATTAGAAAATCATTACGTATCGTGCTGTTCTTCACTCTTCACTTGTGATATTCACTCCATAAGGGAACGGGATGATCCCCCTTCAGAAAAGTGCTTAAAAGCTGGTGTTCAGGGTGATTTGATGGCGTTCCCCCAAAGGGTCCGACTCACTGTGTTTCTTATTTCTCCCTCAGGCCCTTCATCTCCTCCGATGTTTATAAAGCCGCTGGGCATCTTCAAACATTTCATCGTGAACTACAACTTGAACACCAGACCTCTGGAAAACCATACACCTATATGTGTAGACTTGTAGTCCCAAAAACTGGGATACCATTTGTTCCTCCTTACTGGTGAGGCTCTCTTTATTCTCCTGAACAAAGCCAGTGACCTTTCTGCAGTTCTGCATTTTGGAAATAATCAGCTTGCCATTCAAAATAGTGGACTCGAATTCAGAAAAGAAGGAACTTTGTTATTCAAACATGGATAATTAGCATAATAACTAATCTGCTTTTCATTTTGATAAATTTGTGGACCATAAACATTATTAGTTGGACCATCCCTGATCCAAAAATATGTAATATGAATGAAATGTTCCGAAATCTGAAACTTTATGCCAGAAGTAGATTTCCCACACCCAGCATCATACGATGGGCCCCATAGGTCCTCTAAACATACATAACCAAATTACATCTTCAGGCCAGGTATGTAAGGTATATATGAAACATAACGGACTTTATATTTAAGACTTAGATCCTAGCACAAAGTGATCTCATTCTGTGTATGCAAATGTTCCAAAATCGGAAACACTTGTGCTCCCTGGCATTTCAGAAAAGGAATATTCAGCTTGTATTTAAAATCTCCATTTGTAAGACTCAGAGCCTCACTAAATTAACCTTTTTTTAATGTTTGCTTCTATTTTTTTGAATGAAAGAGGCCACAGATTTGGCTTGTGCCTGACCACAGTCCTTCACTGACCCTGAAAACCATCGTGGATGTCGTCAATCCTGAGGCCCACATGCAGGCCTAGTCATGCGTCTGTGCTCCCAGGAGACCTTCAGAGAAGAGGCAGTCTCATCAGTTGTCACTTCCTCCACTGCAACCACTCCGGCCCGGCTACCGTGATCTCTTGCTTGGGTTGTGGCCACAGCCTCCTTACTGGTCTCCCTGCCTCTGCCACGGGCCTTCACCACAGGCAGAATGTTCCTTGGTTAATGTGACATATTAAATCATTTTCTCAGAATCCTCCCATGTCTTCCTCACTTCACTCAGAATGAAAGTCAAAATTTTTACAGCCTGTTACTGAGCCCTGTGTAATGTGACCTGCTGCATCACTCCAGCCTGCATCACTCCAGCCTGGATAGCCCTTTGGACATTTCTTGAGTATCTCAGGCCTATACCCCACCAGCACAGTCCCCTCTGCTTGAGCATTCTTCCTGAGATGCCCCAGTCTGGTCCCCTCCTCTCCTCTCGTCCTTGGTCTTTATTCAAACATCACCTCATTGGTGGATCCCTGTAGCCACCTTAAATAGCAGCACTTCTTCCCACCAGCTGTCTGCCTCCCCTGCTCTATATCCCCGTAACACCTTCATTTGACAGACTATGTTTTATTTACTTCTGCTGTGGGTGCCTGCCAATAGAATAGAAGCTGCAGGAGGTCAGCCCCTTGCTTTAGTTCCTCAGGTAGGGAGGAGCTTGACACACAGGCTGCGCTGAGCAAGTATCTAGTGCATTGTGGAAAGGAGTGTGGCGGCATTCCCATAGTTGACGCTGCAGGAGGGCACATCTCTGCTTTTCAGCATCTGATTGAGTTCCAAGGAGAGGGGCTGAGATTCTCTGGCCCAGGTCGCTGGGTTCTTGCAGACACTGAAAAGCAACTTCAGGGGCCACACTGGCTGGCCTCTGCAGTCATGTGGTCCACAGCCAGCTCTTCAGCTGGACAAATTAACCTGTGTGACCCAGGAATTATGTTTCCTAAGGGTTGGAGAGACAACCAACTTTATTCCTGAGTGACTAAAGACATCTTTTAGTGTAGCACGATGTAATCACTTTAACTTATGAGATTCTATTCCCAGGTGCATCCGGGGTTATTTCTGGATGTGGTTTCCATGATGCCAAAGTTAAATAAAGCCACATATTCATATTGTTCAAGACAACGGCCCTTGCTTTTCAATACAGAAAGCTAGAGATCAGACCATAGACAGAAAAACAGGCTTTGAAGAAAGGTAGAGCCTCAATTCAAATCCCTTGAAAACACTTCTTTGACTTTTAGCTCCTGGCAAAGGGGTCCTTACCTGTCATTCGATCCCTATCGATTTTTTCTATCCTCCTCAAATGCCCACACAAATCAGAGGACTCAGTTCATCGGATTCCAAGATTTCTGTGCTCTTTAGTTGAGCCCATCCAAATAGTAGCTTAACAATACAGAGGTCTCATCGCTGTCCCTGTCCCAGGTTCCTCTGGCTGCCAAACCCAGATGCCAAGAGAGCCCTTACCCAAGGGCCAGTCTGGGCCATACGCTTTGTATGGCAGGAGCTCACAGCTGACTCAGCCTTTGGGTCAGAATCAGCCAGTACATAAAAACAGGTCCTTCCTTCATATGTGGAGGGAATACACATTGGTATTTTTTTGGCATTTCATCTTTTGCTATTTCAATTATTTTCCTAATTTTGCTTTTCTCTCATTTGAATGTATTTTTCACTTAAAGTTTTTTTTGCAGGGGACAGTACCTGGGATTGAACCCAGGGGCTTCACATTAAAATACAACCTAAGCTCTTTTTATTGTTTACACTGACACAAGGTCTTGCTATATTGCCTAGTGGAACTTGAATTTGAGATCCTCCTGTGTCAGCCTCTCAATTGGCTGGGACCATAGGCAGGCAGAACTGTTGCTAAGAATTAATTTGTAAACTAATTTCCCTACAATAGAAAATGCAGTGGTAAAAGAATATAAACTTTTATACAGTGAGGTATGGACCGATGTAGCAGTTTGAAAAGCCATTCACCAGACAAGTGTTCCCAAATGAGTATACTGATTCTACTGAAAACTGCATTTACTACCACCCCCCTCCCATAGCATAAAATACAATCTCATTTTGATTTGCACTTTTAAATGAGAAATACTTTCCCATGCCCATCTCAGCATTTGAGAATGTGTTCACTAATTTCCTCACTTACCTGTGTTTTTTGCCCCATTAACTCATGGGAGTCTGAGCCTTTCTAACCCTGTGTCGTTCTAAGCACTCCGGTAACAGCTACACCTGCGACCTCCCTGCTCTTCCTGGGGATTCTCTTCCTGTGTCCCACGCTCAAGAAGGGCCAAGCCCTTCTCAGACACCTCCACCCCAGCCCTTCAGGGAAATCCACTTCTCTTCTCAATCTGCTTGAAATAGGGTTTTTGCACACTAGGTGTTAAACACTGAAAGGCAGAGATAAAGAACCATTTTGAAGAGATTGTTTTGAGGACTGTTTAAAAGTTTAGACATAATTTAAAAATGTTTCTATAATATTAATGCATAAATGATAAAATTATTCTAGTTACTTATGGAAAGACTACTTAAGTGCTGGAATAAATGAATAGCAAAGTAAGTTTTTGAAGTTCTTTATTTCAAAAAACGTAATAGTACACAAAAAATTGGTACATTTCTAGGCATTAGTGCAATCAGTATGTACTTACGTTTTAAATTCAATTTTGGACAGCTTTCAGAGCTTCTTCCAAAATGAGGCACTAAAATATCACATGCAGCACGTACAGTGGCACATGCCTATAATTCCAGGCGTTGAGGACGCTGAGGCAGGAAGGTTTGGAGTTAAAGGTCATCCTGGATAATACAGCAAGACTTATCTCAAAATAAAAAATTTTTTTAAAAAACCCAAAAATATATACATACAATTACAAAAACAAATACCGTACTGAGGCAAGGAAAGGCAAAAACTCCCATTACATCTTTTGCAGTGAAGAGAAGAGAGCATCCCCTTCCGACAGGAAGCAGTGCTAACTGGAGCACATTCACGATTACTCTAACCCAGCTGGAGACAGGAAGGTGCAGAGAGCCACAGTGGGTTTACGCTGCTACAAAAGACCCTGTAGTTCTAAGCCTGGACACAACAGTATCAGCAGGCTCTTTTCACATTTGTCCAGACCAAGTGGCTCTACTTGGTAAATGTCAACTGAGGAACCACTTCTGAGTTTATGGTATCTTCACCAAATCATAGCAGAAAAACCAGTGCCATCCTCTAGTTCATGATCTCTTCACAAAAGCGGAGCAGGAAGATCTGTATCCCCTCTAAGGTGCTACATCTCAGTCATCTTAGGAAAATTCCTCAGAATCTGTTGTAAGTCTATAACCAACCAAAGACTCTTTGGCACCCTCCTCCCCAACAAGCAGATCCACAAGCACGTGCGGCTTATCGTATCCGAAAGAGAGGGGGGCGTTTCTCGGCATGCTGGGCTCCTGTCCTTCTGTCTTTATTTCGGTTTTATTACTTGGGATGATTTCAGAGTCAGGTATGCAGCCGTCTGAACCCATGACGCCGCTATCGGAACCATTTCGGGAGTGATAGGAGTTTAAGAACACAGTGCAGCATTCTGACTCATTACTGCTTGACTGCAAAGAATTCTCTGTCAGGGGGCCGGGGCTGCTAGGAGCCAGGTCAGAGTCACTGCTGTCAGCAGTCACGGTGCAGGTCTCGGGGGAAGCCTCTTCTCCTGGGCTGCCTGCGGTGTGCATGCCTGGCACTGTCACCGGGGAAACCTCTGCGCAGATCAGCACCTCCTTTTCCACGGCAATTGGCTGACAGGACGAGACGCACGACACATATTTTGATTCAGGTTTTGTCTCTAAAGTGGCATTTTTCACCACAGAGAGCTAAAGAGAGAGAAGACAGTGAATTATTAAGCGTAAATGCCTCTTTTCAAACAAAGGCCAAAAAGTTACAAAATACTAACTGACACATTCAGGGCAAGATAACACCCAGTGGTTGCTTCTGCTTTCCTTTTTCATAATAACACTATCATAATACCACCTTCTCGGTGTGCACACACTGCATCTGTAACGGAAGCGCAGCTGCCTATTACACTGAGTACTTTCGTTATTTGCCTCCATCATTATAATCTTCCGTGGCTCATATTACTGTATCGATCACTTCTTTAATAGATGTTGGTGTTTCTTAGTTTTACTAGCTGCATCTTTTTGTTTACGAAATGACTTCCTTAGAATAAGAGAGCGGACCGACTGCATCAAAGGCTGTGGCCGGTCGTAACACACCGTGCTGTACTTCTCAAGCACACTTAGCTTCCGCTCCTCTCCACTGGTACACATTGATGACGCTGTCACTGCACTGCTGGCCAGGCAGGTTTATCTGTCCTTCCCTAGTGAGTGTAAAATAATACACTGCGAGGTGGCTTTGAGCTTAGACTGGGAAGGATGCCTACTATAATTCATATAGGAACAAGCCACTAACTGTTCACAGTTCTTATCCACTTTAAAAGTAGTAATTTTATAGTAAATTTCAATGTATCCTTTGAATATCACAGGTAATATTCTTGACATAGTTGGTTCAAATAGTTATTCCATTACCTCTAAATGTTCTTTTCTGAAATGTCAGATATCAAATGTTAATTTTCTGTCTCATTTTTGGCCATCTTTCCTTCTATATTCCAACCATAATAAAGTATTTTCATTTTTGGAGAGCTTCAAAAATCAGGATTTCTAGATTCTTGGCCTTAGTGCACTGTGTCCCTTGGCACCTGGATAGACTTCTGTCTGTCAGGACTTCTCAGACATTATGGGCCCTGGGACAGCCCCAGCTGCAAGCAGCTCGCGTGCTGGATGGAGTCTTCACTGGTTGGGTACAAACGTCTACCTTTGAACCGATCACACTGACTACCTATCCATCATCCAGTTATCTTTTCCTCCTGTCAGACTCCTGTCCTGAACAGAAAAACATCCCTGGTGCACCACAGATACCTGTGGTCCTGAGTGTGTGATCCACTCAGTGCTCAGTGCTTCCAAATGCAAAGTCCTGTAAGACAACGATGCGTCACACCATTCTACTGAACGAACATCACCCCATTTCAAAAAAAAAAACTGAAGAAACTGTCAAAAAGGGTTAGCGTTAACATTTTAGCATTAATAACTAAAGAGAAATAGATAAATAAATTACCAAAGATTTTGGCAACATTATGTTGTTCTTCTTACATGAGATCTTCTTAAAATAACATGTGACTGCTAGGACCACTACCAGAAAGAGTACAAAGGCAACAACAATTGGAATCCAAATAAAATCTAAAACAAAGAGAAAAATCATAAATTAAAATTAAGATGCAGTACTATTATGTAGCAAAAAGTTATGTGGCAAAAAGTCTTGACATTATTTAGTAGATTCACATCTTAATAAGTATGATAAGAGTTTTAAGGAACAGGCAATCTGAAAACAAAACAGGTGTCTATTCTAGAGTGTAATATGATTCTTCCCAGTTCTGTGATTCTTCAACTCCCTGCCATAACATCAGGGAGTCAAAACGCAACTTCCTTACAGCCTCAAACACTGTGTGTTTCTAGGGTTATGCTTTTGTTTCCATTAAGAAAGGGAAAGAAGAATTACAAATACATAACTTTTAAAATAACTTAGCTCTATTCCTCAAATTCTTTGGTTATATTTATTCCAAGAATACAAATACTTATAAAATATACAGATGCCCCACCACACGGAACAAAGTCCTCATGACAGTAAACCAGATATAAAGAACATAAAAAATAGGAAAGATTTGGTTCAGAGCACACACATCATCACCATTGTGTACTTTACTGTGTCTTTTGTTTCCATAACACAATCTTTAGCATTTTTTCACAATCCTCTCTTCTAAAGAAACACTAACAGTACTCCACATACTGTGACAGTGTGTGGTCCTGTCTGTGGCATTTTCTCTAATTTCTACTCTAATCCTTTGGGAAAGTAACTGAAAATTAGTACTTAATGCTTACACCATGCTCGATACAGGACGTGAAAAAAATTAAACTATGACAGAGTAGAAGACAAAATAACAACAAAATGAACTCCAGTCCTTGGGCAGACCTGGAGAGCAGTGGGAGAGGCCGGATGCCCACAGAAGGGCAGTTGCTCACAGCGTGGTGCTGCCACCGTGTGGCCGTAGTAGCCTTTAATAATTCAGGCCTCCTTGTTTGGGTTTTGGTGTTTTGCCAGGTAAGCAGCAGAGATTGAACCCAGAGCCTTCACAGTGAACTATACCAGCAGTCCTTTTTAAAATTTATTTTGATACAGGGTCTCACTACATCGATAAGCTGCCCAAGCTGGGCTTGAACTTTCAATCTTTCTACTCCAGCCTCCCACAACAATGGGCTCTTGGGTATGCACCACCTGGCTGAGATTTGGGCTTTTTAAGAAAACAGATCCACAGCATGTATGTACATTACAGTATTTCAAGTCTTATGCTAAACTGAATTTTATTTTTTAAACAGCATAATATAAACTGGCATAAAATCTACTACATTATTCTAAGTCTCCTACTTGAAACTTTTATATAATAGCCTGGAAGTTATTAGCATTAAATTTTAGGTCTAATATGTCAGCCTTGATTTCTAGTCTTCAAAAAAGTATCTGTAAATAAAATCAGAGATTATATTAATACAAGGGATTAATAGGGATTATTACAAAAAATATGCTAACAAACTATGAAACAGAAGAAATTTCTGGATGCTTCAGGCCTATCAAAAATTGAACTATGAGGGAATAAGAAAAAAACAAAACAAAACAAAATAGAATAGACCAAAAATAAAGAATGAGATTGAATTGTGCAGTCTCCAAACAAGAAAAATCCAGGATTACTTCACTGTTGTTTACCAAACTTTTAAAGAACTAATGCCAATTCTCAAACGATCCAAAGAACTGAAAGACAGGAAGGAAGCCCTTCCAAACTTACTTTATGAGGCCAACTTTACCCTAGTAACAAAAATCAGATAAGAGCCTGAGAAGAAAAATTAAATACAGGCTAATATATCTGATGAACACAGACGTAAAAATTCTCAAAAATTACTAGAAAATTGAATTCAAACATGCGTCAAAAAAGATTGTTAGCCATGAACAACTTGGTTTCATCCTTGAGATGCAAAGATGGTTCAAAAATATACAAATCAATAAATATAAGCACCACCAACAACAGAAAGAATGGTAAAAGTCAGAGGATCCTCTTAGATGTAGAAAAAGCATTTGATAAAATTCAGTATCTCATGATAAAAATGAAGTGTAGAAAGATCAGATCTCAACATAATAAATGCTATACACGACAAACCCACAGACAATATACCAAGGAAGAAAAGTGACATATTTCCTCTAAAATCAGGAAAACGTGCCCATAATCATAGTTCTTGTTCTACAAGTACTGTAAGTTTTCACCTGTGCAACTAAGCAAAAGAAGGAAGTGAAAGGCAAATAATTAGGCAAGAAGATAAATTATTCCTATTTGTAAAAGATATGATTGTACATAGAAAACTCCAAAGACTCCACCAGAAAATTATGAGAACCTGTAAACCAATCAATAGCTTCCATACACACCAGTATTAAATTTGCTGAGAGAGAACTTATGAAAAGATCCCATTTGTAACAGCTATAAAAGTACCTAGGAATAAATTTAACCATGGAAGTGAAAGACCTCTACAATGAAAATTATAGAACATTAATGAAAAACACTGAATGAAGACACACACAGAGAACCGAAGCAACAGTGAAGAGACAATCCATAAAAGGGAAAAAAGCAACTGCCAACTACTGACTTGCCATAATGGGTAAGAGACTCGAAAAACGAACTAAAAAATGTAATACAGTTAAAAAATGGCAAATAATCTGAACAGATACTTCTCAAAAGAAGGCGTTCTATGTAGCTAAGAAATATTTGAAATGACACTCAGTATTATCAGCCATTAGGGAGACACAAATCAGAAGCACAGTGAGAGGTGAGAGGTGGGTTCCGTGGTGCTAAAACTGCAATCACAGCACTCGGGGAGGCATTATCTTAAAACAAAGAGCGCACATTGAAACAGCATCTCACCCCAGTTAGAATGGCTATTATCAAAACAACAACACTGAACAAATGCTGGTGAGTAGTGAAGAAAAAGAAACTCTCTAGTACACAAAATTATATATGCTACATAACACAAGGGATACACAAAACACTAAAGAGGAAAGTGGAGGAAAAGAAAACAATGATCTGTGAATAATGGTGTATTTTGGGGAATGATAGGACTTCGGATAATTTTATTATTTTTTGGATTTTTGTTGTGTAAATTATCTATGATAAACTTCAATGCAGATATTTCTACGTATTTGTTATCTTTTCTCGTGGGTCATCAAATGGCTCCCCACTTGGTTACTCTGTTTATATTATTCCCTGAGCAATGGAGCTACTGAATATTTTTAAGAGAAGTTTTTTGAAACTGCAAGTAAATTAGACTCTTTACATTACCCTCTTTTAGTTACCCTTCTCTGTATTTAGGAAAAAATGGCAAGAACTTACCGTTAAAGTTGCTATTGTGAATGGTAATACAATCTTCCTTTGACTTTTCTGTTGTAAAATCCCATTGTTCTGAGATGCCTTCTGCCGAAATGCAGTACTCAGAATACAGCAAGGGCACCGGAATCCTTAAATGGCATGGAGTGTCGAAGCAGTCATCGCCTCTGAGGATGTGTTCTCGGGTCTATGTGGGGAAAAATGCATTGCTTCTTCAATCCTTAAAGAACATCCGTCACACTTATGTTGGTCAAACACTAAAAACCCCCCACACTCACACACATATACCAAATAGTATATATATGATGAATCTTAAACCTATCTGAAACATTTGGTATCAAGTATTAAGTCAATTTGTTACAACACAGCAGGATGATGTGCATTTATCAAAAACTTGTACAACAGGAATATTCATCATTAGCTGTTAAACAAATGTTAATGTCATTCCTAAAGTGTTAGAAAGTTAGAAAACTTATCTGGTGCAGTTTTATGGGAAGGAGAATAAAATTATTGTGCAAAGGCTGCAGGTTCTCTGGGGAGTGGGACCTAGAAATGACTGATAAAAAGTTCATTATTCATCCTACCAGCCAGTGTGTGGGTCAAATGTGCTAGGACCTGAAGACACAAAACAGTACTGTGGTTTCGCTATAGGTCCCCCAAAGGTCCATGTATAAAATAGGTTTGGTCCTCAGGGTGGTGGCATGGCGAGGTGCTGTGGGCCTTTAAGAGGCGAGTCCTGTGAGAGGTCCTTAGGTCACTGAGGATGTGCCCTTGGGAGGTTATTATGAGACCCCAGCCTCTCCTGCTCTGTCTCTGGTCTGGTTTGAGATCTAATCACTTGAGCTAAGGGAATAACTCAGAGGTATAACTCAGTGCTTGCCTAACATGTGTGAGGTTCAGGGTTCAATTCCTAATACTAAAGGGGTCACAAAGATATTAACCTTTTCTCTTTATATGTTATGTCTTGGGGATTTCATTGTAGTAACGTGATGCTGACAAATACGGGTAGGATGGTGGTACCTGGGTTCAAATTCCTTATGATTTAGAGCTGAAGAGAGGTAAGAAAGAAATACAACAAGGAATAAAAGTCTACCAGGTCAGAGAAAAAGTGGAGATGACACCTCAATTGACTACTGAAAAATGCACAGAAATTTGCCAACTGAAAAAGGTGAGAAGGGTGTTCTGTGAAAGAACATGGCAGTTTCAGGGATCCAGGAAGTAGCAGTTCCCTGAAGCATAGCTGAAAACAAGGCTGAAGAGAATGGAAGATGAGGACTGAAGACCCACAAGGCTAAATCACAAGGGCCTATAGGCCACGTCATGGAAAGAAAGTCATTATTTTACAGACAATGGGGATTGGTAAAATTTTAAGCAGTGGCATAACATGGTTAGATCTGTATTTCAGAAAGACGTCTTTCCAACAAATGAGAAGATATTCTAAAATCTCTATCAGGGGCCAAGGATGTAGCTCAGCAGCAAAAGTACCTGCCTGGCATTTGCAAGATCCTGAGCTCAATTCCCAGTACAAATCAAATCAAATCAAATCAAGTCAAATCAAATCAAATCAAATCTAAGTCAGACACTACTTTTCTCCTTAAGTCTTCCCACATGATGCAATAAAAAGATCAAGGCCAAAACCTTCCAATGCCCTCAGCCTTCACTCCCTTCCTGCTCCCGTCAACCCCATTGTTCCACTGGCTGCTCCTCTCCTGTGCCCACTGTACCCCTGCTGGGCCTCTGCCCGAAATGCTCTCCACGTGCATCCCTGGGACTCACATCTCGGCCTGATCTTGACAGCAATCACCACCTTCCCTGGATGGCCTGCTCTAAAAATCGTTAGTCCAGCCCCTAAACCCCATGCACCACACAGCAGTTATCTTGAGTTTGGTCTGTCCCGCTCTCAGCGGCCCTCCCAGATGCCTCGTGTGCATGTACTGTATTTACCAAGTAAAGAAACGCCATCATTGTGGAGTACGGACACTACTTCCAACCAATGCATGCATTGAACACCAGTGCCAGAATAATGCAATTATGTCCCCACAGTAATATTATTTTCTTTTTAAACAATGATAATTCAAACTAAAAATGCATGTTATTTTATATTATCATCAGTGAGAGAAAAAAATACATTATCCATACAGGCCCATCTTGTTAAAGAGCAAATAAATAAATAAATAAATAAACTTAAAAGTATTCATCTGTTCAGTGTTAGTGATTAATTACATTCAATTTCTTTTATTAACATCCATATATATTATCTCCCTAAAACTTATGATCTAGAAGTTTTGCCTGAATATCACAAGCAATCCACTTTCATTATACAACATAAAGAAACAACTTGTACTAGCAACAGAAAAACAGATGTGATATGAATATACAGCAATTCTCCAAAATGAAGTATTATGATTATCAACACATACTAAAAAGAAATAATCAAGTCTTATACTCTAAATATATAAAAAATATGAAATAGAGACACCCACCTCACTTCTGTTCACTCTCATGTACACTTTATAGTCAAAGTCATAACAAAGATTTCCAACACTGTGCATGGATTCCTGCTCTTCTAAACTTATGTGAACTAAAGGGTGAGTCACATCAACGACGATATAGTTTTCCTCCTGTTTAACAGTTAGCTCGGGCGGTCCAACTTTTCCTGGGGAGAGAGCAGTACCTTAGTGGCCTTCGAACCTCATAATGCATACAGAAAATTATCAAAATCAACCAAGCCACTCTGTTTTTCTCTTTTTTTTTCTTACTAAAGCAGGGCCACATTTTAACTAATGTAGAATACCCTCACTAAGTAGGACCACCTTTAAATTACTCCACAAAAATCTAGAGGACATTCCCAATACCCTTCATAAATACTCCATAAATCTCACATAAGAAGTACTCTTATCCAAACTCTTCTTTAACAGTTTAACTTCATTTCAGATTTAAGAGAAATATAACTGGTCATGAACTTAATTTTAAAAATTAAACAAATCTAAACATAATAGAAGCTCTATTAAAGTATCTCTTATCTGCTTTTATAGATGAAGAAAAACAGATTTCTAAAAACCGTTTCTGAAAGGCATTTAGTTATCTTTCCTCGGAAAAACTCTGTGTTTCTAACATGCATAGATTCTTGGCATGCAGACTCTATAAAAGTTTGCTAAAAATTCAAATTTTACTGTGAAAATCAGAGTCAGATATTCAGTTATTCGGCAAATCTTCACTGTGAGTGTTTGGGACGCCACTGGATACCACTGAGCCATGCTTCGTGTTTACAGTGTGCCTACTGTGTCCCGGGAAGATCTGCTTCATGTACTTCGGGGCCTAACACATGTTCTGGCACATTTCTGGCCCTTGAAAGAGCGGAGACAGAAAAGTCTGACAATATACATAGTATGCATTGGATGACAAAATATGGATGTTGAGGACTAAAATACTGAAGAGAATGGTGGTCAGAATGGAATGTCAACCTGACTGGCTTTGGGCTCCACCCAGGGGACTAGGGGATTATGTCTTTGGGTGGATTATGAAGGTGTGGCCTTGGAGTCCACGAATGGGCCTTCACCCCTTCCTCACTGGCACCTCTGCTTCCCAGCCACCGTGAACTGAGCAGCTCCACTCCACCACGCCTTCCACCATGACGTTTCTGCTGTGGAGCCAGAGCCCACAGACTGAGTCTCCTTAAAACATGACCTCGCCTTTGAGCTGTGTGTTGGGTTTTGTATCTATGATGGGAAAGCTAGATAATTCAGGAGACAAGCAGGAAGAGGGCTTATGAAAGAGCCCGAGGCAGCACAATCTGTAAAGCAGAAGGCCAGTCAAGGCAGTGGGGAGCAACGAAGGCAGCAGCTCAAGTAAGCTAGCACTGGCACTGAACAAAAACGGAGGGGAAGCCAGAAGAAAAGGCACCAGAGCACTACCCGACTATGAGAGAATCAAGGGATTGAAGGGTTTTTCCCCTTGGTACCAGGAATCAAACTCAGGATCTTGTGCTTGCCGGGCTACATCCTCGGCCTCCTAAAGGTTTGTTTCACCCAGAAGTGAGGTATGATTACCAAAGGGAGCCATCAGCATCAGCAAATAAAAACTGGCACCCAAATTCTGGAGTCTGAGGTATGCTACTGGCGTGGGACACTAGAAGAATGAAGAGCTGAAAATCAGAGAGAGTAGAAAGATCAAAGTTCTAGAAATTCTGAATGATTAAATTGGTATTCAAATTCCCAAGGACCTAAGGATTAAGGTAGATGGGAGAATGACAGCCAGTAGCCAGTGCTCAGGGCGTGTACTCTGAAATGAACTGCAGACCACACGGGGAGGGAAAGGGTGATGTGAAGCACAGCTGGACAGCACCGCTCTGCATCTGCAGGCAGTGGAAAGAAGTGACCAAGAGATGGTAATCTCTGTGGGGCTTGAGAAAACTGAACGCTACTGGCTCTCCATAAATCCCTGCAAATGTTTCTTAGGCATTTTGATCATTTTTAACAACTGCTAATAAAAGCAAATATGCACAGAAAACATGTATTTTGAAATTTCATCTTTACATGTATTCATTCTACATACCATGCTCACATAAAACGAAGGACGTGGACTCCACATAGGCCGACTCTTTTTGTCCAACTCTAGCTTTAACTCTGGCCCAGATAGGAAGATCTGGGTCATCAATATTGGGAATGCTGCAATAATAAGCCGATGTATTTTTGCAGGCATAAACCCATTTATTACTCCTAAAATGGAAAGGAATAAAGAAACACAAAGATAACTTTTATTGTTATCACAAACTTGTACCATCTCTGTGTTTTATTTTTCATTTACAGCATAAAGCTGGTAGGAAGAGCTAAATAAGAATAGGATGCAGGCAAAGTAGGAAACCTTTACTTTGGTTGAAGTACAAGGCCAGCATCCGTTATCCAAAAATAGCAGAAATCTAAAATGCTCCAAAATCCAAAAGTATTTGAACACTGTCTTAATGCCAGAACAGAAAAATTCCACACTGTGATTCCCCATTATATGGCTTTGAAGCCTTATAAAGTTTTCACTCATTAATTGGAATGGTTTTATTCTGGGCTGTTTGAGTTTATTGTCTGTGATGATATGAACAGCTATTTTGAAGAAAACAAGACATAGCTAGTGTTGATTTAATATCATCTTGTTTTGAAGTTCAATCAAACTGTTGTTGTTCTGTCTCCATTGGTTTTATCATGTTGTATCTTATTGGATTTCATTATATGTGGTAGTATAAACAAAATTTTTTATAGGCAAAGAGATAATATAGAAACCATTGTTTGTTTTCTGTTAGCTTGTTCTAAATACCCTGTAATACTGTCATCCTCGTGAATGGTTTCACACTCTCTTGATATGTTTGATGCTATAGTATACGAAGTTATACTCAAATATCTCAAGGAAAGAGACACTATGGTAACTACTATTAAGTCGGGTTATCTAGTGGTGAAACACTGTGTTGCTTAAATTGTTCTGTTCGGACCTGTATTGTTGTTATTTCTTCTTTTATCTCAATCTCCCCTTTTTTTCTAATTTTTTTTAATTAAGGGGGAAAAATTAGTAGGATATATTATAGTAACTTTTTTGATTTCCTATTAATGTGATTTGAAGCCCTGTATTGCTCTCACCATCTTGTTTTGACTGATTTTACTCTATTCTGTTTTGCTTGATAGCATCAAGTTTGAAGGTATAGGCAACTACTTTGAAGGCAATAAGATTCACTATGTTGCCCATTTGGTTTGACTATTATCTTCTTTTGAAGTCCTGTAATGTCTCCAATGTTTAGGTTTTATTGGTTTTGTTCAATTTTATTATACCTGATGATATAGGCAATTCTTTTTAAGGTAGCAAGAGGCATTATGGTAACCATTGTTGATTACCTTGTATTCTGTTTTTACATCATGTACTATCTCCATCCTTTGTTTTGACTGACTGCTTTATTTTGTCACATTTGGTTTTATTCTCTTCCAAAAAAAAAAAAAGTAGTAAGAACTGTGGGAGTAATAAAACCAAAAATGTGTAATTGTTATTGTAAAAGAGAGAGGAAAAGAAAGTGCTCTAAAGGACACAACTACAAGATGTGTAAGACAGATGACCATATTACTAAGTTTTTGTTGGCTCATTGAACTGTTTGCAGTCTCACTGTTTGAATGTCCACTTTGTATGCTTAATTTTGTAATGACCAACTATTTCTAAGATGAAAATATGTAATCTATTAACTAGTGATTTCTTACTTTTTTGAAATTCTGTATGACTTGTACCCTTTTACTGTTGTTTTTTCTTTAAATACAATTAAAAAAAAAATAGAAAAATTCCACACCATGAAACTTAGTTTCATGTATTAAAATATAGCATGTATTATCTTCAGGCTATGGGTATAAGATGTATATGAAATATAAATGAATTTTATGTTTCGACTTAGGCCCATACCCAAGATACCTAGCTATGTATATGCCAGTATTTCAAAGTCCGAAAAAAAAAATCAGAAATATGAAACACTTCTGGTCCAAAGCATTTCGGATAACGGATCCTAAAACTATACTATGCACTCTTTTATGATAAAGAGGCTCAATTCAAACTCTATGACCTGTACAAACCACATTCCACATCTAAGTTTTAAAATCTTCTAAACAACTCTAGATTCCTTTAATGTTGATGTGATTTAATTTAGAATCAAACACATAACAGACTCCTAAAAGTGGTCAATTTTTTGGAGATTTATATCTTTTTAGTAAAAAATATTCTATAAAAAGGTATCTTTACTAGGTTCATTTGTCATACCTTGCAATCTTCAGATATTTGTCCATAGATGAGCTTTTCATTTTCTTCACTTTATTATTAACTAATAATAATACAGAAATGTAGTTCCTTTCTTATTTTCTGTGCCATGTCCTTATTTGTGGCCGTTCCTTTGGCCAGGGAAAACCTATTCAAGGTGGCTGCTGCATGTTTTTGACATGTCCCACTCTTTTGGCTAAATGGACAGGAGTTCAGTTCTACCCATTACCTACCCTCTACAGGTAGTCAATTCGGCTGGCTTCAGGTTTTAGTTTCTTGTTTCTGCTTTCAAAATTAAGGCAATACCTATGTAAATATTTCTTCTCATTCCTTCTCACCCCTAAACAAATACTATATATACTTTATTGAACTTAGTTGCTTTTTCCATTTAACAATATATCTTAAGATATCATATAAGTTCTCAAAAACCATTTTTTTTGCATGTGGGTAATGTCTTTTTATTTGTTGGAGTTGCTGAGGATCAAACCTAGGGCTTGTACATGCTAAGCAAGTGTTCCGAGTGAGTAATATCCCCAGACCAGTGGGTAATATCTTTTGCTTGTTCGTTTGCTTTTTCTTAATGGAGATTGAACCCAGGACCTTCACACTGATGTGTATCTCCAGCCCCTTTATGATTTTCTTTTATTTTGAGATATGGTCTTGCTAAAGTCCTTCAGTTGCCTGGGATAGGTTCAAACTTTTGATTTCCCTGCATCTGGCTCCCAGAATGCTGGGATTATAGGTGTGCAACTATACACCTGGCTGTGTAATGTCCTTAAACTGTATGTCAGTAAGTATCTCTTGAGGACAAGTTCCTGATGTGGGATCATCATATCAAGACTTAAACATGAGGGATTTAGCTCAGTGCTAGAGCCTTGCCTGGTATGTGTGAGGACCTGGGTTCAGTCCCTAGTAAAGGGGAGGAGAAAAAGAGGGGAAGTAAAGTTTTGTGAAATACTGCCAAATTCTTCTGCCAGGGCCAGGTTTAATTTGCATTTACCCCAGTGATATACTAATGTATGAGAATGCCTGTTTTGCAAGCTTCAGTGTTTTCAAAGTTTTGAATTCATGTCAATCTAGTAAGAGATACATAGAACTAACAAATCTTGAAAACAAATTATGAACTCTGGGTCTACCACAATAACACATGGGTGTTAAAAATATGCATGGTCTTTGTGAACAGGACATTTATGTCCTTATAAAGTTTCTCTCCACAGGTTGCTTGTTTAAAAGAACTTGTGCAAAGGATACATCTGAGGGCTAATGACCAGATCAACAATGGGACAAATTGTCATCATGATCTGTACATGGACACAAAACTGCCTTTGTGGTATGCCTATCAAAAATGTTTAACTTTACTTAAATTGTGAGAAAAAAATTAGAAAAATCTACACTGAAATCTGTCAATTTAGGGCCACTTGAGTTATAACTAGCCTGAGATACTGCTATTACTCAAGGTAACATTATTTCCATTAATTGCAATAAATTCAGCTGTATTTTATTAACAATTAATAAACTTTTGCAACCAGGTATGGTAGTATAATGCTGTAATTTCAGCACTTGGGAGGCTGAACCAGGAACCTGAGGTAGACTGGACTATAAAGTGAGTTTTGATGGTAGCCTGGGCTACAGAGCTAGACCTAGTCTCAGTAAAAAAAATCAATCATTCCATAAAGACAAAAAGAAGGAAAATTTTACAAGTTAGTGATACTTCTTTACTTTGATAGGAAACACAGGAAGCATTTTACAAAGAATTAATTTGCATTCTAAGCATCTGCAATTGTCTACAAGCAGTTCAGACAGTTTTGCCGTGTAAGAAGGATGATAGAGGGAAAATACAGAGTTATGGAATGTTCAAGGTCTTAGATAAGAACAGAATTGAAAGGATAAAAGAAGGATACCTACCCGTAGTTCTTTACCTCTACAGTAAAAACAGTGTTATGGGACACGCTCTGGTGGTTCCAATACACGACTGGGTTCATGTCGTACGACTCAATTCGAACCCTGGTTGGCACTGGCACTGTAAAAAAGATTCAACAAGTAAAATAGACAGCAGTAAAAAATGAATATTAACTTTACAAAATCTTATTGTAAGATATTGTGTTAGTCAAATACATCAAATATTTGCTCACTGCTAAAGGAAATGCCCACTACATATAAGCCAATCTTTCTTAAAATAAAAATTCCCCCAAAAGTCCAAATTGGTACATTATTTTAATTTACAATTAATTATTTAATAAATTTTCTGTACTGTCTTTCCAAAGCAGAAAACAGATCAAGTTATTTAGATAAGTAATATGCAATTATGGGAGTCAAGAATTTAGCTCAGTGGCATAGGGATCTATCTAGCAAGCACAAGGTCATGAGTACGATCCCCAGTACCAAAAAAACAACAACAAAAAACACACACACACACAATTATGCATGGTTAAATTCTAGTGTCAACTTTCTTTTTGTGATATTTTTTTCCCTTTATGGAGTGGTTCTCAATAGGTTGGGATTTTATCCACCAGGGGACAGTAAGTAGTGTTTAGAGACATTTTTAGTTCGCTCTGGGTTCAGAGAGATTAGACGATGGTGGTTACCACTGGCTTCCACAGGATCAACACCAAGCAGAGATGCTGTAAAATAGCCTACCATGCACAGATTACTTCTCCATAATAAATAATCTTTCCCTAAAGACCAGCAGTCCCAAAGGTGAGAATCTCTGCTTTATCTGTTTGTAACTTTAAGAGCTTATTTATTCTCGGTACTGTTCACTGAACCCAGAGCCTCACACATGCAGGTACTCTACCACTCAGCTCTCCCCGGGCCCTTTTTAAAAATTTCAGTTTGAGACAAGGTCTTACAGAGCTGCCCATGAATTTGTGATCCTTCTGCCTTGGCTTCCCAGGTTGCCCTTAAAGGTGTATGCCACCATACCTGCTTCTTCATTTAGGGGAAAACCAACTTGGAAACAAAATGCTTTATAGTAAAAAAATACATTCTATGCCACTTACTACCCTTGGAAAAAAAGATTTAGTTCCTGCCAAAGTAGCTAACTTCCATATCATTTACCAAAGTAGTATCACAGGTATGTGCCAAAGGTTGAGAGTAAAAGCCTGGGGGAGAAAGGGAGGTCTCACTGGTTCAAATACTCTCAACTACTACCTTTTTTTGTGGCCTGTAACAAAACAACTGCGAATTTTTCACTTACACTGTTGATGGCTTTTGATACTATATCATCTTTGCTTCTCTAGGCAACTTCCTCTGGGAGCCTCCAAAGCACTGGTCTTGCCAGATTTGGTTTTGGGAGAGTGCCCTGGCCCTACATAGTCAGACTCCGGATGTTTCAAAGAGTGTTTTTCTTTCTGTGGTAGCTTTGTACCTCACTTTCCTGAAACAATCTAGTTTTCAGTAAAGATACATAGTTTCTGCAGAAATAAAAGCCATTACTCCCCTACTCATTTACTATTAAATAAGAATCATATAAATAACCATAATTTTGCAACCATGTAAGAGTTGTACTTATGTTAAGCAAAATTAATAATGAATCCAAACTTTTGTTAGAAGTCTTTTTTTTGGTACTAGGAATCAAACTCAAAGTTATTTTTTACTTTTAGCATCTTTTTCTTCGAGAGGGACTGACAGTTTTCAAACTATCAGGTCCTGGTTTCCTTTTAATAGTCCTTCAGGATGACTTTGTCTAGTCTCACATTTTTAAAAAAACAAGAAACCAGGTGGTTCCTTCACACTTTGACTGGAAATCTCCTGTGCTAGGTGATTGGGAACATTTCCTGCTAGGCTTTCTGCTGCTACATAACAAGGATCCTTTTTCCTCTAGCTTGCAGTAACAAGTCTTTTACTCCTTTTTAAGTCCTTTTTAATTAGTCTCAATATAAATGATTTTATAATTACATGCATTCCATCTGAAATTCACATTTTGAGGAAAAGCCATACAGAAGTTAATCTAAATAGCATATCAATCTGTATTTGTACTTACGAAGGAATTACTGAATCACATATTATAGAATTACAAACAACAGTAAACTCATGAGGCATCAGTGTGAATCAGACTATGTCTCTCATAAGTAAAAGTCTTCCATGGTTAGACTAGAAAGAGAACCTAACTCGCAACTTTCAAAGCAATCAAGTCAAACAGGTGACTTAGGAAGAAGTTTCTATACATGCTTGCAGACAACATTACTACCAAAGGAGAAATTTTTGAATACACCAAATACAACCTATGGTTTTAATGCTACCTAATGCAGGTTATTAGGCAGCTACCTTTGTTGTCTTTGACAAGAATCACACAATAAACAGACGTGAGTTGCTTTCTCATAGTTTCATAGTTTTGTAAACTGCAGTCTAAATTACTACTTAGAAAAAATAATTAAAGCTTACAACAAATTTCTAGCCATAATACATTTCTATAGTATGAGTAAAAAAATAACAGAGAACAAGTAAGAGAGTCATTGTATCTATAGTTTACAGAGAGGTTCTATTAGAATGATTTAAAATAACCTTATAGATTTTACCTCTTTAAAATGCCCAGATTTCTCCACTGATTTCAAATATGGGCTCAAAATTACTGCGTATTTTGTCTAAATACTGCCTAGACTAAACTTTTGCTTTTTAAGGATGTAATTCCCAAAACTTCTACAGAAGAGTTAAACCAAGGAGAATTAAACAAAACTAAACACAGGAGGGAGCCAGGAGAGAAAAAGAATAGAAAAACCAAAACAAAACAAAACAAAAAACCACAAAATCCTAAACACAGAAGGGAAATACCAGCTTTTCATTACACTCTAATACAATGCAGAGGACAGAGAGCTCTGTTAGAGCCAACTGTTTTCTTAGAAAGATGATCAGGCAAAAGAGGCAGGACCCTAACGGGGAGCAATGGAGAGGACAGATTAGGACAGCTGCAAATCAGCAGAGCCAGCCCAGTGTCACTAATAGGAAATAGGAATGCCACAAGGGACTGAAACACAGTGGCCAGGAGAGCTCTGCAATAATCACTGGTGAATGCAGGGTGGTGGTGGAGGCAAAGTCCAGATACCTGCAGATGACAACTGAGGACACAGGTAATTTTCTATGTGGACAGGTGACAGGAATAAGGAAGGGCTATTACAGGTTCCAACCCATAACTGCTAAAATCAAATGCTCTTTTTGAAGGAGGGACAGCCCAAGGAGCTCATCCTTTGTAACACCCTAATGTATGAAGACTGTATAAAAGATGTGGTCTGGAGCTATGGATTCTGCAGCCATCTTCTAACAATCTGCTTACTCTCTCTGGAATGAACTTACGCAGACACACATAGGAAGATGCTGGGACTCAGAAATCATCTGATACACAACTCAAAACCAAATGCTCCAGATTAAAGCATCTGCGCTGTTCTCTGAAGGAGCAATTCTAAAAACAAAGATGTAACAACTTTCCAAAGTTGAGGATTCAAACCATGGGTACTTTCAAGTTTCATCTTTCCTGCAGAAATGTCTACAGAAATTCAGATTGGATACAAAAAATAAGCCTATCAGAATAAATTTATGAGGACAGTCTATCTCTTCAATGGCTTCACAGTGCTAATGAAAGAAGGCTATTTTTCTCTATGCTTATCCCCTAGAGTTAAGCTACAGAAGGACATTTTGAGAGTTCCTGTAACATGACATTTCAAGTGTACATGCAGTTCCTGAACTATTTCAACATTTCTGGGCTTTGAAAGAAATAATGAATTAATTACTATGTGAAACTAATAGGGGGGAGTCCACTGGCTACTTCCTTTGATTACTGTCACATACCTTCAGAGAAAGACAATTTAAGAGCTAAGGGTTCTAAAAGGCATAAAATATTTGTCTATAATATTTTACTTGTATATACTTGTTCCTCAGCTAGATCAAGAACCCTAATGTTCTTAAAGTCTTCTCTTCTTTTCAGGACCTATTCAGGTTTTTCATGCATTCTTTTAAAGTCTGGAGCCCAGAGATAATAGATGTCCCCAGAGATAATGCAATAGATGTCAATAAATTCTTTCTCTTTAAAAAGAGTTGTACATACAAACTGCAGTTTACTATGAACTAGTCCTTTCCTCCTCCCAAATATTTTTCACCCAAATTACCACCAATTAGACCTAAGTCAATAAACACTTGTTCACTTACCTTTCTGGCCTAAAAGCTAGGACTTTATTCTTGTTTTGTTTTTTTTAAGAGATAGTATCTCACTATGTTGCTTATGCTGATTCTGAACTCATCTCTTAGGCTCAAGAGATCCTTTTGCCTCAGCCTCCAGCATACCTGAGACTACAGAAAAGAGACAAGGGACCGGCTTATTCTTGTTTCTGTAGGTCCATTTTTGTCTAACTGGGACTGGGCTAGCATGAGTTATGACTGGACTAGACCAATCTAGTCCTTGAGAAAAATAATTTCCGAGGATTAATCATTTTGGACAAATTTATTTTAAATTGAGGATAGACTGATAATTGAAAAAATTAAACAGGCCTTTTTAGCCTATAAAAAAGAGGAAAAATGCCTTAGCTGTTAAATGTATTTTAAATATAAAAGGGCTATTTTTCTCATATGGATCTGGATAGTGATTTTTAAAAGCCAATACCATATCTTATATACAAGCAAAACAATGTAATATTTAAACCTGATAAACAATGATATGCAATACTGAGTAGTAATCATATACGTTAAACATTTACTACACAACATACAATATGCTCTACTTTTTTATTATCTCAAATAATCCCTCAAATCACTCTATGATGGGTATAATATTATTATGCATACTTTAAGCATGGGTCTAGAGAAGTTACTATAACAATAAGTAAAATTTTTCACAATAAGTAAAGTTTTGTTTGCTGCAGTGAAACATCCTTGTGATCATTTATTAAGGGATAATGATTATTTTCTTTTTTCATTAGTATGTGTTTGCTGTATCTAATGATTACACTCGTTATGGGTAGTTAACATGCACATAACACATCTTGAATTTTTTACTTCCCCTTCCTCCTTTCTATAGCCCCTCCCTTCATCTCTAGGGCCTCCTTCCCACTTGATGATTATTTTTTGATGATTTTGTGAGCATTTGCTTCAAGGAGCTGGTTTTATTATTCTCCCAACAATGTATTCCAATAAATCATTACTGACAGACAACAGACAAGAATGGAACACATATTCATTGTTTTGATTACTATGCACTGGAATAACCTAAAATAAAGATACTCCTTAATAAGAAAATCACAAGAACATACTCTTTTCAGAATGTATTCTTACAGTTTGCTCTTTTGTTCTAGTATACTGCTATCTAAAATGTGGTATCCACTGTTTTTGTTTTCACCAAGAAATATGACAGCTCATGACGTCATAACATAATACATCCACAGACACTTGGGATTTTCCAGAGACTGACTGTATCAGGACATTCTCTTCCCTTCCTGCCTACTCCTATCAGATGCCTTCATCCAAGATGATCTTTCTGCTCTACAGCCATGCTGAATAGAAGAGTAAACACACGGAGGCACTGGTGAGAATGGGAAGTGCACCCGGAGGCAGACACAGGTGTCACTCTGGGTTTTCCTCCTACACAAAGGACCCTGCTTTTCAAATTAACTTTGACTTACGGGAATGGGTTTCACTGACCCCTGTGCTGACAAAATGCTAGAGTACAGAAGGCTGCAGATCTGTGGATGGGATGCAGGCAGGCAGCCCCACTCCCAGAGCAGGCTTGGGGATGTGCAGATTATGCAGTTATGAGGAACCCCAAGCTTAGGAGGAACTTGAATGTACATGGAAGGTGCTGGCACTTGGTTTAATGCTCAGTCCCAGCCAGGAATCTTGAGTCATTCTCTTCTCTGCCCACAGAGTCCTACCAACTGCCTTCCAAAGGTCCTTCACACTGTCTTCTCTTCTCCATTTGCATTACAAATTCTCATCCCCAGATTCAAGCAGCAGGCTGCTAATGGATCTCCTTCCTACAACTGTTACAAGAAGGCTGGTCTTTTGGAATGGCATAATTAATCCTGCATAAAATCATCTCCCTTTGTAATATAATACAGTGGTTGGCCAGTGACTTCAACCAGGGATATAGTTTGCCAATATTTTGCTGGTTTTCAGGAATATCACGCTGTTTCTTCTGGGAATGCTCCAACCTCAATCCCTTTGACTATGGCTTTCCCATGCATCCTGGCACCTAACTAAACTGGGTAAATCAGAGCATTTCTCTGGGATTCTGTTAGGATGGAAACAGCTGCAAGGCTAGGCAGAGGGTGCAGTACTGGGGGGATTGAACTCAGAACCTTAAGTGTGCTAAGCAAGTCCTCCTTCTACTAATGAGACACATTCCCAATTCTTTGTCTTTTAATTTTTTGAGACATGGTCTCACTAAATTACACAGGCTGGCCTTAAATTTGTGATCCTATTGCCTCAACTTCCCAAGTAGCTAGAAGCACAGGGTGTCCCATGCCTGGAGAATGTGTATGATTTTAACACTCAAAAGTTATCAGCATCCATGATTTCTGCTAAGATGGGAAAGCTGTCAATGTCCAAGAAGAATTAAGGAAAGACGAGTTTTAATAGTCCAAGCTCTTAGTTCTAGCTTCCTGAGACCCAGCAGACAGCTCTAATTTTTTGCTTAACTGTTGCTTGGATAGTCTTAGCCAGTAATTTTCTTTTTGCTAAAGTAATCCAAAGTTACATTTCTGTGCCTTGCATTATACACGGTGAGGCATTTCATTACTCGGTTCTTACCTTTCCATCTATTCTATTTCCCCTTGTACCCTCATACACACAGTCTGGACAAAACACTAGTCCTTGAATTCAACATACTATTTCACATCTCTGCCTCTGCGCCTTAATTCGGAGTCTGGGGTAATCTCTGTAAAGTCTTTCCTCATTCCACTGGACAGAGCTTGCAGTAGCCTATGCCTAAATTCACACTCTTGCACAAAAACTGCAATTGGTTGCCCTCGCCCTAGATTATAGCAGTTGACAGGACAGTTAAGAACTTGGGACTCTGGAGCCAAAATGCCCAGCTCCTCACCTTTCTACAGGCTATGCAGACCTCTTTGCACTATCATCTCTCACCCATAAACAGAAATATCAACAGTGGCTACTTTGTAGTGGTGATGTGAAAACCAGATTGCCATTTACCACAGTGCACAGCTCTTAGTAACTTTTATCACGGATCTTATGATTCTGTTATTATGAAACAATAACTGTCATTTTTGTCTTCCCAAAATTCAGCACCATCTCTGTCCCTAGGGAATGAGTAGCTATTTGTTGACTTGACTTTTACAGATCAAGCAGAAGGAGGGACGGATATGAATGGAGCAGATCTAACAAGAACTCAAGGAAGAAGTTAGAACACAGTGGTTCAGGCCCAAGTTCATTAAGGGTTAAGGAAGCTGGGCCACCCTATGACTTCCAGGGAGCGGCTAACTGTAAACTGCGGAGACGCGGGGGCGGAGAGTTAGCTGATTTCGCTGCACCTCCCAATCACGATTACTCTGAGCTTCATAAAAGCTATCTGCACTGTTTGTTTCCTGGGAAATGTCATATAAACAGGGAGAAATAAAACGCTCCAAAGACCTAAGCGAAGAGATCTGCTAATATATCCGCCGCTTCCAGACTCAGACGTCAGATCAACAATTTACCGTCCCTAAACAAAACTCAGCCGGCGACAGAAAACTTCTCCCCTGTCCTAAGGCATGAGACCGCACCCTGAGACTGAAGTATTTTAAGCCGGGAGCAGCGGACGCGTTGCCCTACGCTGACCTGGAAACTAATTCATTGAAAAACGAACAATAAATAGAGGCTAGAGTTTGAAGTAACCGAGCGAGACGCTTAGCCGTGCAGGGAGAGACGCCCTCGCCGCCAGCGCTCGGACGATCCCAGGACCCGGGGGCCGCGGAGAAGCCCGACCGGGCGGGGCTTCCCGGCTGGGGCGGCGTCCGCTTTCCCCTCCCGCGTCCCCCCGCCCCCACACGGCAGGGGCTCGGCTGCACGCGACAGTACCCGAGGACGGCTCTGGTTCCGCTGTGACGGTCTCGGCCCGGCTCCCGAACTGCACGAGAAGGACCAGGAGGACGAGCAGAGCCATGCTGCCACCGAGAACCTCCAGACCCAGCTGAGAACAACCGCGGAGCAGCCTGACGGCCTCGCCTTACGTCACTTCCGCTCTAAATCAGCTTGCAGGCAGGAGGCGGGGCTGAGAGCCAAGGAGGGGCGTGGTTGCGAGAGCAGGGGTGGGGGGAGGCGGGGCCTCTGGGGAGGCGGGACGAATCCTTTGCCTAGAAGGTCTGGGGGTGGGGACGGGGAGACCCAGCGTGGGCCGGACGCATGGAGTCGAGGCCATGTGGGGGCGGAGCTAAAATCCCGGCTGGAGCAGGGCGCAACGCGGTAGGGCGACTTAGTGGGCGGGGCTAGGCGGGGCGGGGCGGGATAAGCTAGGCTGTGAATCCTGAGGTTGGTGGGCGGAGCTTGTTCGGAAAGGGACGGCAGCGTGCGGGGCGCAGACTGTGAGCGCTGCAATCTGGTTAAGATTTGTTCTCGTGCCTACGTGAGAAACTCGAGTTCAAAGGTCCTGGCATCACCCTCCTGACATCACCTTGCGCAGTTCCTTTTCCAGTTTGTGTTGTGTTGGGGTTGCAGAACTTTGCCTTCATTCACAGCCTGGCGATGATCTTTATTTCACTCTACTACGCATCGAGGGGTCTTTCAAAATGAGATTTTAAAACAGAATGAGCCCTTAAAGGTCTACTTCAATCCCAGCAATTTTGCTTGGGTAACCTCAGACTGGGCTAGTGAAATGGTTTGTGCAAGCTGGTGTAACCCACATCGATTGGGCTTGACCCAGTCTTTATTCTTGGAGAGAAAACAACTTGCATAAAATCTTTTTAGGAGTGAAGTCGTTAAGCAGCTGTTACCTGCCCGCTGGTCTCTCTAACGTTTGGCCTGGCCCCCTTCCTTCCGGCCACATTGGTCTCCTTGAGTCTACTGCAGATCCCAAGCCTGTGCAAATGCGCAGGTAGCTAACTACTTCATCTGCGTCCATATTTAACACGGTCCTTTGCAAATATTTTAAACTGCAACCCACTTCCCCTGGGCTCTTTTTAAGCCTGCCCTATTTTTTAATGCCACTTTTCATCTTCAAACACACTAAGATATGTATCTTGATTTTTATTATCTGTCTCCTAGAATGTAGCTCTACAGGGCTGAAATGTTTGCCTGAAACTCCACTAGTATTTGTGGAATGGAAGAATGCACAATTACACAATCTTTAAGCAGAAGTTTAGCAAAAACACATGAAGAGACTGCCCAAACTAAAGAGGAATTCTCAGATCATCTCAGTCCTTCTCAAACTTTATTGCACATGCAAACCTCAGGGTTCTTGAGAAAATGTAGATTCTGACTCAGCAGGTCTATTCAGGTTGGGAAATATGGTTCTGCATTTGTGACAAAATACTCAGGGAATGGCACTGCACTGGACTGTAGGACCACACTTTGAATAGGAAGAGTTTAGCTGAATCTAGGCCATGTTAGGGGGTAAAAAATTCCTTTGATGTGCTTTTGATGTCCGCTACATGAAAGGCACCTTCTAATCATGCAGATGGAAGGCCACAGAACATTACTGCTAGTGAGGAGTGTATGGATTACTATAGATCATAATATTCAGTTTGCAAACGTTTTTGAGGTATCCATCATGGACTGGATTACCTAGGACTCTGAAATGAAGATTAAGATACAAGGCATTTTAGGGGTACTGTTGGGATAAACTCTTGTGAAAGGGAGATGGAGGAAGGAGAGCAGAAATGTATCCATGATACCATCCCAACAGTCTTCAGGAGAACTATAGAATTTTGAAGCTCAGATGGCATCAGAAGAGACTGTGCTAACTTGGTGTGAGGGGCTGGGCCTTAAACCCAGCAGTGATTAGGCACCGAATGTAAACTGGCCTTAGAGTAGGGCTTGATTTGGGACTCTAAACAGGAGGCATTCCCCAAGGGAAGCTTAGTAACACTCCAAGTGGCAGAGAGGGAATGGAACTAAGTCTTCTGTTGCTGAAGGAGGATTTGGGCAAACATCACAATCATAGCACTGTGCTAGTCACTGGACAGCTGCAGGTGTTTAACAAATGACAATATTTTTGAGTGTGCTTATTTGTGTGGGAATAGAAAGGCTCGGCACTGAGATACAGGTATGAGTGAGGTGAGATTTGTGGGCCTTGACCTCAAGGAGTCTACAGTTTACAAGGGAATTGTCTTAGTCACTTTTCTCATTATTGGAACGTAATACCCGAAACATGCAGCCTGACACATGCAACTCAAGAGAGGAAAGGTTTACTTGGCTCACAGTTTGTAGGGGTTTCAGTCCATTGTCTGTTGGCTTCCAGCAGGGCCCCAAGGCTGAGGGAAAGCAGAGAACATGAAGGTAAGAACTGGAGAAGGAAATTAACTCTGCCAGGCCAAGTCCTCAGTGACCCACTTCTCCCAGCCAGACCCTACCTAACAGCAAACAGGCTGTACTGCCCCATAAAACCCCACTTATGAGTGCCTGAGGCTTTGGGAAGGATGTCTAGATAGAAACCATAACATTCTGCCCCTGGCCCTCCAAAGACTCCCTTTATGTAAGATGAATTTTTAAAGTCTACCTCTAAGAGTTGCCAGTGTCTTTATAGATCCATAATTGCTGCAAAGTCTAAGTCCAAACTCTCCTCTAAGATTTATTCTTACCTGTGAGTTCCTATAAAATTTAAAAAAGTTAAATACTGCTTACACTACAGTGGCACAGGGTAAACATTCCTGTTCCAAAGGGGAAAAACAGAGAGTTGGAAAGCAATTGGGCCAAATGAAGACTGAAATCAGGTAGAGCTGAAACTCTTGTGTTTAACATGTAGAACAAACCTAGATGAGATGTAAGCTTTAAATGGCCTGTATGGTTCCAGCACCATAGTGTTGCTGGTGGTTGTAGCCCACATGGCTTCTTTCTTGGGCTGGTCTGCTACTCACCACCTGCAGCTTTGGGGGGCAGATGTTCCATGTCCCTGGCTTCTTCAAGTTTCTGGGGTCTCCACAACATTTTTGGTTTCACACTCACAGCATCATGCATTGTCCTCTTCAAGGCACACTGCCTGGCATCCCAGGGATTTTTTTTCTGAAATCTGGGTGGGAGCTTTCCTGACTCTGCAACTCTTGCATTCTTCTTGGTTGTAAAACCAGCTTCACAGGAATGACTCTAAAATCTGCCATCAGCTTGAGCAGTAGCCAGATGCCACTGAGTTTGGCTGCATCAGCCACTGAGTGCCTGGATGGTGGAACATATTAAACTGAATCTAGGGGACTCAATTCCCTAGGACACCCTGCTCCAACAGATTGTCTTGGGGTTATCTACCCAAAGCATTCTTTGCAATTTTGACTTGGTGAAAGGTGGGGCTTTGTTAGCTCCTCACATGCCCTTGAAGTATTTTTCTTATTGTACTAATCCAAAATATGGGGCTTCTTTTTAATAATAATTATTTTGGCAACCAAGTTCTCTTCTGCTCTATCTTTGCAGGTACTTTCTTCCTGCCAAAACTTAAAACTTTAAATGTGAACTTTTTGTTCCTGAGTTTCAGTAAACACCTGGTTAAAAAACCCAATAGTATCAATGCCACAGCCCAAACATTGGGCCGCCTTGATATTTCCTCCACCAGACTGGTCTGCTACCCCTAAGCTCAGTTTCATGTGAAGTCACAAGACATGAGCAAAATGTAGACAAATTTTCTTCCAGAGAATAACACGCATGGTCTGGATTTCAAGTGCCAATGGAGTCCTTCTTCCCAACTGAAACATCTTCAGCTTATTCTTTACCAGCTTCATTTCTATCAGTCTTCAAGTCTGAACTCCAACTAGAATCTTCCATCAAGCTCAGTTTATAGCAATCTAAGGCTGCTCCTTCAGCCTGTATCCCCAAATCTTTCAAAACTTCTCTTGTGAGCCCGTTCCAAAGGCTTTTGAAATACATAGTTAGGCAACATCACAGCAACAACTCCATTTCTATGGTATCAAAATCTGTCTTAGTCACTTTTCTCACCTTTGGAACATAATACCTAACATCTATAAGGAGGAAGAGTTTGTTTGGCTTACAATTTATAGAGGTTTCAGTCTATAGTCTGATGTCTTCCTGGCAGGATAAATCGCAGATCAATTGCTTTTCATGGTGTGGCTTTGGTAAAGTAGAGAGCATGAAGAGAGGAACTGAAAAAGGGAGATAAACCCTTCCAGGCCTTCACAGGGACCTACCTCTACCAATGAGATTCTGCCTAATGGAAATTCAGCTATACCACCTCTGTAATAGTATTGCCTTTCAAATGCCTCATTTATTAGTACCTGGGACTTTGAGGGGGCATCTAGACATAAACCAGAACTGGCATCAAATAGATACTTCATCTGTAAATACAGAAACTGTGGTGGTGGTCCCCAAGGAGAGCAACAAGATGAAAGGAGCATAAACAGAGACTTGATTTAGTAAAAGTTGTAAGTACATTATTTCTAAAAGAAATTACAGTCATGTTATGGCCTAGTAAAGTCAGAAGATAAGGGAGTCACAGGCTAAGAGGTACAATGAAGGTCATAAATTATAAATATTTTAACCCAATATGCAAATCTTGTAAAGCCAAAACAGGAGAAAATGAGAAGTGTGCCAGTTTCCTTGGTAAATTTCCAATGTCTAATGCCCAAAGAGTATCCTAGTGTATGTTGGGCCCATTTTAACATGTAGCAAGATTTTAAAACCATGAAATCAAACATAGGGGGAGGAGTAGATTGTTCCAAAATCAACTTCCCACTGAAATGCTGCTCAGAAGCAGGGCTATCTATTTTTTTTTCTTGTCTTTATGAGACAAAGTCTTGCTATGCAGTTCAGGCTGGCCTTGAATTCACTTTATAGCCCAGGCTTATCTCGAACTTGCAACAATCCTCTTGCCTCAGCCTCCGGAGGGCTGGGATTACAGGCATATACCACCATACCTGGCTATGAGGGCTACATTTTGAAGGACTATTCAGTATGACTTAGAGGAAATTAACAGGACAAGTAAAATAAATGACAAATACAATATGAAGCAATGAGAACAGACTCTGAGTATGGAGTACACACTGTGCATTTGGGATCTGGCACTGCACATTTCCTTCCTCTTTTTCCAGGGCAGA